AGCAAGGCAGTTTGGCTTCTTGGGGGGCCTCGTCCTCCGAGTCCACCTCATCAATGAAAGTGACGGGCAGCCCTGGCCGCCTAGGCTCCTTGCCGCTCTTGGCCAAGCCAGGAGTCTGGAAGCCCTGGGCGGGCTCAGCTTCAGCGGCGGCCCGTGGAGACGGGGGTGGTGAGGGCGGCCCCTGCCACCTGACAGCAGGGTCCACAAGGGCAGCGGCTGGAGCAGGGATGCCCCCCTCTACGATTCTGGGGGGGCTCCTCCCACCTGCAAACACACCATCCACTCCAGGTACCTGCTGGGCTTCATGCTCTGGGTGCTGGGAGGCCCAGCCAACTTCTTCCTCTGGAGGCGCCACGGACTGCCTCCCTTCCCCAGGAGGAGCCCCAGATGTCTTGCGCTTGGGGATGACTACGAAGGAGTTTCGAGAGTTCACTCGAAGGCTAGCCAGAGCCCGGGCCTGGAGGTTCTCGGCAGGGATCCTGCCCATGTCTGGCTTTGAGGCCGGCCGTATCTCGAAGGAGTCATTGGCGCTGGTGGCCGCGGAGACCCACTGGCGCTGGCTGGGAGTGGCACTGGAAGAGCTGAGCGTGGGCAAGGCCGGAGCCGCGGCTGGAGTGGCACTGGGGGTCCCCGGGCTGAGGGACTGGTGGGCGGGGGCCTCCCCCGACTCCACCTTTGGCTTCCACTCGCCTGGCTCAGGCGCGGAGCCCTCAAAGCCGTTGGCGGCGCCGGCCCGGGACTCCGGGGCCAGGGGCCCGTTGGGGAGTGGGCGAGTGCCCGCACTATGGCGCAGGCCCCGCGGGTGGACAGTGAAGGAGTTGCTGCTAGTCTTGTGCAAGAAGCCGCTGCGCCGGGGCCCGGGGCCAAGGCCTGAGCCGCAGCGCTCCGGATCGGACTGGAAGCAGGCGGCGCGCTCGCCCACGCGCGGAAAGGCCGGGCCCGGAGAGGGTGGCGGCGCGGGGCGGACGCGCTCCGGGCTCCCACGGCGGTGCGGCGCGGCCGGCGGGTCGAACTTCTGGAGCAGGCGGCTGACGCGGCCGGGCGTCGGCGGTGCCTCGTACACAAGCACCTCCGCGGCGCGGATACGGGCCGTCCCTCCGGGACCGAGGCCCGGGCTGGGCGCGGGCGCGGGCGGAAAGCCGGGCTCTGACTCGATGATGAGGATGTTGTCGGCGCGGATGGTGCGCACGCCGGGCACGCGGCAGTACAGCTCCAGCAGCTGCTCCGCGGGCCGCGCTCCGGGCCTGCGGCCGCCGCCCGCCGCCGGCCTTCGCGCAGCTGCCACACCCCCGGGCCACCGCCCATTGGGGGAGAGGCCCGCTCAGGCCCGCCCCAGCCCCGAGGCCCCACCTATGGCAGGGAGGATAGCCGGCCACGCTGATTGGAGAGCGTTCTCCTCGACCCCGCCCTCCCGCTGACCTCAGTGGACATGGCCCAGCCCCGGAGTGGGTCCCTATTGGGGAGTCCCTTGGACACGCCCGTGACGCCTCATGCCCCTCCAGGGAGGCCCACACTTCCGCCTCTGCTCCCTGGGCTCGCCGCGCCCGGAAGGCGGAGCCACGAGGGGGCGGGTTCTGCCCCGCAGGCTGGCAGGCCAGCCGGACCCCTGGGCCCCGCGTCGCGGTTGACCTTGGCTGCTCTTGGTCTGTCCTCCTGTTATCCCAGGGAAAGCGCAGTGGAAGAAGCGCCAACCCAAGACTGGAAGGCTGTCCCGCTCCGTGAGCGGTACGCCGGTTGTACGCCAGCCTCCCTCTTCCTGGCCCAGGTGCCTATGGGTCTAAGGACTGCCCACCTGCGGTCCTGGGTCTCCCGCGGGACTTAGCGGAGATACCAACGGCTGAAGCCCCACCCAGTGCGGAGTAATCGGTTTCTCAGGAATTTCTGGTTTTTGCTGTCCCCTAGAATCCACTCTTGTTGCCCAGACAAGTAGTGGAAACTATTCACCCTTGGTCATCCAGGGCCCACCAAACACGAATGGGAGTGTGGAAGCCCGTAAGGCACATGAGCAGGCCCACAGCGCTCCAAGGCAGACAGGGCAACAATAGCCGGGACACATTCCATTCCCCTGATGAACCACCCCCATCCCAACGCTGCCCTGGAGGGCACACCTTCTCTGTGTACTTGCCATGAGGAAGTTCACCGCCCCTGGAGAGCTGCACAGAGTTCTTTCAGGCCTGCTGGAGCCAAGGAGAGGAGGGCAAATTGGGGGCATGGGCAAGGACAACTGTCCCCTGCCTTTCCATCACCTGCCTACATCAACAGATGTTCACAAATGACACCACTGCCTCCCGCTACACTCACTTTTCAGAGACCAGGCTCCAAGAGCACCTGGGCCTCTGCAAAGACCCAGGGCAGGTTTCAACTCTGAGGCCCTTCTCCACTTCTGTGCCCCGTGGCAGTCTGCAGCTATCACTGCAATAACAGTACCTGGAACAGCCCAGTCTATCCAGCTGGAGAAAAGAAACTGGATTTCAGCCTTCCAGGGCTCAAGTGTTCCGTCAGGACTCTCCTCAAATCACCTTCCCAGAAGGAAGCTGAACATTCTTGCGCTCATCCCTTGTATGCTGACAGGATTACCTAAACTACCAGAATTCAACAGGGCAGTGATAAAATACACAAACTAAAAATAACATTAAAAGGAAACCCAACCCCAAGGGTCAGTTTGTATCTGGTTTTGACACAGGTTATGCCGATGCTGGGTAGGAGACATTTCTGCAGCTGTGGCACAAACTAGACCAGCCTCCAACTCAAGCATCTCAGTGGTTCAGGCCATGAGGCATCCGTCCTAGAACAAGAGTCCAGAAAATATGGGCAAGACAGGGGGTAATTTAGTCCAGTGGTTCTTACTAGGAACAGCTTTGTCCTCCAGGAGATTTGGGAATGTCTGGAAACACTGGGCTGTCACGTGTGAGGGGCGCTTCTGGCATCTGGTAAGTGGGGATCAGGGGTGCCATTGAACACTCTATGATGCCCAGGACAGCCTCTCCCTGCACACACACACAACCAAGAGTGATCTGACCCAAAGGCCAACCGTGCCAAGATTGAAAGGCCCTGTACACTGCAGGCCACATTCATTTCTGTCATATTGCTTTTACAACCCTTTGAAAATATGTTATTTTTAGCTTAAGGGCAGTATAAAAACAGGCCCCGGGTCACAGTCTGCTGACTCCTGCTCTGCAGATCAGCGAGGCCTACAGAGACTCTGATGTCACACAAGCTGCCTGTTAAGTCCTCAACATGGGTCCACACCCGGGGGGTTGTCTTCACTCTGGCTCCCCAGGGAGGAAGCAGGGATTCTCCAAGGGAACTACCCTCCCATTCACCCAGAAGGCTCGAGCCAACTTCCGGCCCTCTCTTACAACCTCAGCTCTGTAACCATGTACACCACACAGTAGGAAGCATCTCAGCATTAACCCTCAAAAGGTCAGGCAACCACTGTGTGTTTCAGCAAAACATTCTCTTATTTTATTTTCATCTCAGCAAAATGTTCTCATTTGGCACCTAACTGGCATCAAACCAAAGCCCTCAGAGTGACAAGTGTGGGCTGAGACCAACTGCAAACTTCCCACGTGTAGGTCTCAATGCCTATTCACATCAGAACACCTGTTCCTCTCTCTGGTCCCTTAGTGGCCTAAATGTCTCAGGTGCACTAACACTGCCGGCCACAAGGTGGTGGAAAAGCTGGGGACAGGAAGCCAAGCAGTGCCTTGAAAGCAAGTTCTTTTCTCAGGCGACAGATCTCTGGATAGGGTCCCGTCACGCTTATTCAACATCCTCCTGTCTGCCTGGACTGGAATGAAGAAAAAGCCATCCCCAGTGCCACTGGGGAGAAAACACAAGCTGGTTTACACTTTTTAGAGCTCAAGCATCTAAGAAAGTCTTGTCTGGGGAGACAGGGACAGCAAGCACGCAGGTCAGCACTGCTGGCCAGGGCAAACCCCGGGGCCGGCTTTGCAGCCTTTGCACGCGGCGTACTTTGCCAGGATCCATGAAAATTCTCAAGAACCCATCAGGATATTTTACTTATATGCAGTTTCTGTCAGGAGTTCAGGATTGTCTGGCCTTCTCAGGATCCTTCTAGGGATCTCAGTTCAAGATTAGCTATTCAAAGCATGAAATAAGAGAGAATACGCTTTAAGAATCAAGGCTGCTCTTTTTAGCCCAGCTGAGGGAACAACTTCAGACATGACTGATCGAAAACCAGGCACGCAGCAGGGCACAAGCAGGCTCTCAGACTCAGATTTCTCCTCTGGTGCGGTAGACATGGGGACTCGGCGTGGGTCCCAGCATTCCAGCCTATCTTCTGCGAGGCTAGTTGACCCGGCAGGCACGGATCATGAGCAGCTGCAGGAGAATGAAGACCGGAGACGTGATCAAGCCGAACCAGAGCTCTCGCGTTTGCTCCACCAGCTTCTGGCACAACAACATCTCGAAGACGAACTTGAGGCTGAGAACTGTGAGGACCCAGAAAAGGCGGAGCACGGCCAGCCGCTTCTCTCCATCCTGGAAGAGTCGCACGGAGACGATGGTGGTGAAGTAGGTGCTGAGCCCGTCAGCAGCAAAGAAGGGCACGAAGACGTTCCACCAGGAGAGGCCAGGAGCCAGGCCGTCCACACGCAGGGCCAGCAGCACGGAGAACACCAACAGGGCCAGCAGGTGCACGAAGATCTCGAAGGTGGCGAAGCCCAGCCACTGCACCAGCTCCCGGAGCGAGAAGAGCATCGCGCCGGTTGGGCGCGGGCCGGGGCCCGGCCGAGCGTCCCAGCTGCCGGGCTACGCGGCCGCGCCCTCCTAGCCTCGCTGGCGCTCGCCGCCGCCGCGGCCAACGAGAGGCAGCAAGCGGCCCCACCTGCCCCGGCCCTCGGCCCCGTCGCTCGGCCGATCCCCCGGCCCCGACCTGGGACCCCTCACAGACCACCCGCTGACGCCCGCCGCGCTCGGACGCCATGCCCCGCCGGGCGCGGCCCTAGGGCGTCACTTCCGGCTAATGCCGGAAGTCGGAAGTCGGAGCCGGTCGCAGCGGCCACGGGCTGGCGGCGAGTGCTGTGGGTCACGTCAGGAGTTTGGGGTTCCCCGGGATCAGCCCATGCCGAGCGCACGGCTCCTGGTGCTCTTCGGCAGCCAAACGGGCACAGCCCAGGATGTGTCGGAGAGGCTGGGCCGCGAGGCCCGGCGCCGGCAGCTCAGCTGCCGGGTGCAAGCCCTGGACTCCTACCCGGTGGTGAGGGCTCCTCGGACCTCGGCGGGGACACCCGGCGGGCTTGGGGCGCCGACACCCGAAGCGCTCGACCCCAGGGGGCTACGTTTCGTCTGAGAGCGGGCACTTCCGTTACGGCAGATTTAGGGGCCGGGAACGCTTGGGAGCAGCGGCCAGTTTAACGCATGGAGACGGGAGCGGTAGGAGGGGAGCCTGAAAGAGAAGGCAGGCCGGCCGCTCGCGAGCGCTGAGTCCCTTTGCCCCATTCCTCTGAGAGAAGGAGGGGAGCCAGGCTGCTGGGAGGATGCCTGGCCATTACAGCCCGAGGCCTTACGTGTGTGTCTTTTTGTTGAGGTGAACCTGATTAATGAGCCCCTGGTGATATTTGTTTGTGCAACTACAGGCCAAGGAGACCCCCCGGACAACATGAAGGTAAGGCTGACCTGAAGTGTGCTCAGGGGCTCAGATCCTCTCATTGCCTGGAAAGACTTGAGAAGCACAGTGAATAATTGTTCTCCTCTGGATTTTGGAGGAGATCTTTGGGTGGAGCAGGGGGTTCTGGGTATCCTTCCTAATAAACTCTGCACCACTTTAACTTTTCATGTTTTTTCCAGGGCTGTATGTAAATATGGTATGGGTCTTGTGTGTATTTCAAATCTCACTTCAGGGAACATTCTGCCATTCTTTGACCATCTTTTGAGCACATATTGTATTTCAAGCATAATCTAGTGCTGGGAATCCAGCTATGAACCCAGTAGTCACATTTCTACCCTCGTGAAACACAAAACATAGCAAAAGTAAGAGTTTCATGGGCAGCTACAATGCCAGAAAAATGCATGCTGCAAGAGAAAGTGCTTGATGATAATGGGAGCATTAGTTAGGGCTGCCTTCCTCAATCTGGAGGTTCAGAGAGAGCTTTCTGGAACAAAAGAGGCTAGGCTAAGTCTTGAAAGATAATCGGGGCCAGCCAGGCACCAGGCAAGAGGGAGCAACCTCTGCAGAGAAGAGCCCAGCCGTGGAAGAGTGGAAAGCGGTTCAGGATGGTCGAACCAAGGAATGAGTCAGGCTTGGAGGGAAAAAGAGGAGCAGGCAGCCAGGTTGGATCCCAAAGAGGTCAGCAGCCACAGGGAGGCAGGAGGATTTGAAATGAAGGGCCATGGAACCCATGGGGTGATGCAGTCACATGTGTATTCTAGCAAAACCAGCCCTTGTCTGCCGGGGGAGCAGGCTGCAGGAGAGCAGGCACCAGGGTGGTGGTGGTGGGAGGTGGGCACAACGCAGCCAAGAGCTTGAGGCAGGATGGTGGCAGAGCAGAGTGGAGCAGACGCCCTCCAGAGATGTTAAGAAGGTAGAGTTGATTGAACATGGAATTGTGGGATCGAATCTCAAAGATGAGAAAGAAGGTAGAATTAAGACAAGGATTTAGGCCTAGGTACTAGGATGGATGGTGCTTCCACACACAGAAGTAAGAGAATCAGGAGGGTAAGGTGCCCAGACGTTGTCCAGGTGGAGACGCGCAGTCGGCCTGGAGCTCCAGTGAGGATCCTTAGTGGACGCACATGTCGCAGTGGCCAAAATATGGAGGTGAGAGGAAGGAAGTGCCTCCCTCCCCCAGGACAGGCTGCCCTTAAACACAAAGGCATGGAAGGTGGAGAAAAGCTGGTGAGGGGCAGGAAAGTGGCCCCAGCAGCGAGAAGAAGGAGTGGACCATCTCCAAGGTCGAGGGCAGAGGGGACTGTCTCCAGAGGATGGTCTCTGGCGCTCAAAGCTGCAAGGAAATGAAGTAAGGTCAGCAAAGGGACGGCTGGCAACCTTGAGCAGGGAAGCATTTAAGGACGTCTGCACATGAAACAATTGAAAAACGCTTATGCTGTGAGTGGGGTTAAGGGGTTAAAAAGAATAGTTGTGAGATGGAGAAACCCAGGCGTGTTTAAATGCTGGTAGGTGCAAAAGGCAGAAGATTGAAGAATAGGCTTGGAGTGGGCACGCCAGCACAGGAGGAGGTGCAGGAGAAGAGGCAGCTCTGGGGAGATCAAGGCAGGAGGCACGTGGTGGGTGCCAGACCAGGGTGTGGGAGGGGCGGGGGATAAAGACCTCCATCAGGTCAGCTGGCAGAGGTCCTGACTTTACAGTGGAAGCTAACAGCATCAACGTGGTGATAGTCACACTGGAACGAGGGTGGTTACAGGAGGGCCGGATGCCAGGATGAATACCACTGAGGGAGTCAGGATGGGGCCCTCCCAACCCAGCACAGAACAGGACTAGGAGACCCCAGCCTCCTTGTCACCATCCTGGAGGACACTGGCTGGGCAAGCCCCTCCAGGCAGCCGAGCCTCGCCCCCTCTCTTGGCCAAGAAACCCACTGGTGACAGGCCCGAACTTGGGGTTTTCTGTCATCTTCTGAAGCACAGATAGACCATGAAGAATGACCACGTGCTTGAGGAAAGACCGCTGTGAAGGACGGGGACCACGAGAAGCACATGCAGAACCAGAGGAACAGGCAGAGCAGAGCTCCATCTGTGAGGGGTGGGCGAGCCTGGTGCCCTGGTGCCAGAAACGCAAAGCCTGGGCAGGGCAGCAGCTGAGGAGACCACCTTAAAATGATACCAGGTTAGAAGATAATGTTGAGAAAATCTCCCAGGAAACATAACAAAGTTAGGGAACAAGAAAGATGACATCAGGAGCCCAAGATTTTCCCAGCAGCCCTGCGACAGGAACGAGAGTGGTAAGGAAATCACCACGGAAAGTGTCAACAGGACTGAAGGCTGGGTCTCCAGCCCACACACCCGCCATGTGCCCAGGAAGGGCTGGCAGGGTGGAAACCGGGCTCCCGCTGACAGCCAACTCGTGTGGGTTTCAGCTGTTGAAAGTGCAGAGTGCCCAGGTGTCTGGGGACAGGGCAGGGCACCGAGGGACACTGGCTTCCCAGCAGCGCCCACCCAGCTGGACCAGCTCAGAGCAAAACTTCAGGGGCCTGAAGAGGATAGTGTCAGCCTGAAGTGTGCCCCACTGTCTGCCAGCGGTGCAAGGGGAAGCCCAACATTTTCACACCTAAGCCATGAGAAGCTCATCGTCCCTGGACCCTTTCTCAGGAAGTACCTTGAGGCTTTCCACAGCCTTCAGGAGATAAGGTCTAAGCAGGAGATCTCAGAAACACCTCTGGGCCTGCAGGAAGACCAGGCCAAGGCGTGGAATGGGCGGTGCTCCCGCACAGGCTGCCCAGTGGTGACCCTATGGTCAGGGAAGGAGAGGGACTCGGGCGCCGACCTGGGGGCCAACCTGGGATGAGTGGCTGCATGGAGGTGAGGGTGCCCTGGGGGAGGGGGCAGTGTGGGACCTAGGCTGGCCCTGTGAGGGCAGGGCGTGGGCACAGAGCAGCCTGATGGCCGGCAGCTCCAGGCCCAGAAGGGAAGATTCCCCTGAGGGGGAGAGCCAGACCCAAGAGGGGCCTGGGGGTCTGCTGTGAGGCCCGAGGCGGGGCTGAGAGCTGCCCGGCCGTGCTGCCCGCACGCTGGGCAGTGGGGGGCAGTCCAGCAGCTGCCCCGCTGGTGACAGCCCTGCCAGGCTCCCCCAGCCCTCTGTGGGCAGCACTGGAGCCCAGCTCTGGCACTGGTGCCAGGGTAGCATTCTTCTGCTTTACCATTTTCTGCCTTTCCCCAACTTTTTCACTACTACAGTAGAACAAGAAGAAGCAGTCTTGTTGTAATAACAAAAGCATTAGGTAGGAGAGCAGAGCCTTGGGGAGGCCTGGGCCCTGTTGGCCAGGAGAGGCCTTGAGCTCCCCTCTCCCGCTGCAGAGTTTCTGGAGGTTCATCTTCCGGAGGAGCCTGCCGTCCACTGCCCTCTGTCAGATGGACTTTGCTGTCCTGGGTCTCGGGGACTCGTCTTACACCAAGTGAGTAAGGGAGGGTGGGCCTGACCCCGCATCCACACGGTGTCCTGGCGGAACGGTGCGTGACCCAGCCCCCAGGGCGCTCCCTCGAGGCCGTGGCCCTGGCCACACGTCCTGGCCCCACAGATGCTCCTTGGTGGCACCTTCTTCATGGCCTGAAGCCCTGGGCTTGAAAGACAGGCTGGTTCATGCAGAAAGTGGGCAGGGCAGCCGGTGTGGGGGCGGGGGGAGCCTGGCTGGGGCCACGCCCGAGACAAGGTCCAAGCAGGACCAGAGCTGGACCCCAGGGCCTGAGCCAGCATCCTCTGTCAATACATGATGTAGGGCAACAGGGGACCCTGGCTCACCCTGCCTTCATAAGCGGCCTTTGAGGAGGGATTCGAGCTTACCACAAGCACAGAGAACAGGGAGGTGTGAGCAGGCAGGGCGCAAAAGAGCCCGGCCGCTGGGAGCCATTCCGTGGCCACCTCTGCTTTGCTTCCTTTCACCATTGTTGTGGCACGCCTGTGTCCTGAGCAGAGTGCTGTCGCTTTGCACTATTCCCAGGGAAGTACTGAGGGCTTTGTGTTCAAGGGTACACATAGCGTGGGGTTCCTGAAACATGAAAACCCCTAAGTCTACAGCTCAGAGCTGAGGGAGGGGTTGCTGGGTACAGATGCCTCCAGAACCAGACGCAGCCTGAGGCCTGCAGTTGTCCGGGTGGAAAGGACGGAAAGCGGGTGGCCTTGTGACCCTCGTCTGGGGAGGGTCTGGGGGTTTTGTTCAGTGCATAATGTAGACGTCTGTTCCCACTGCCGGGCACACCCATGGGGCGGGTGAGAGACGCTTCTGCTCCTCCCAGGGAGGCGCTGTCCTTCAGGGAGCCAGCGAAGGAACCTGCGGAGCCTTGGGAGCCTCCACCCTGTGCAGTCCTCTGGGCGTGTGCCTCCCGTCCCTGCGGGCCCGGGGCCAGCACCAGCTCTGTCTTCTCTGTAGGTTCAACTTCGTGGCCAAGAAGCTGCACCGCCGGCTGCTGCAGCTCGGGGGCAGCGCCCTCCTGCCCGTGTGCCTGGGCGATGACCAGCACGAGCTGGGGTGAGTGGGTCGTGGGGTGGGGGTGCCCTCCTGTGGGCCCGGACGGGAGCAGGGTCCCCAGAGGGGTGTGCACCTGCTCTCTGCAGGCCCGACGCCGCCATCGACCCCTGGCTGCAGGATCTGTGGGAGAAGGTGCTGGGGCCGCACTCTGTGCCTCTGAACCTCGACCTGAGCCCTCCTGGAGTCCCGTAAGTGTAGCCTTGGGGTGGCGCCCACCGGCACAGCCGACCTGGCCAGCGGTCTGATGAGTGTCCGCCCCTTCACAGTTGGCCCTCCAGGTTCACCCTGCAGTTCCTCACGGACACCCCCAGCTCGGGCCCCGAGGAGCTGTGTGTGGCCGGAACAGACCCTCAGGGACCCCCTTCAGAACTCCAGCCGTTCCTGGCACCCATGGTCAGCAATCAGAGGGTCACGGGGCCCTCGCACTTCCAGGATGTGCGGCTGATTGAGTTCGACATCTCGGGCTCTGGGATCAGGTGCGGGCCGGCCCCAGGGGCCCGTGGAGTCAGGGCTGCACGAAGGAGCCACGGTCCAGAGTTGAGCCGCTCCTCTCCCAACGCGGGTGCATGTCGGGCTGAGAGCAGAGATGACAGCTGGGGGGCGGGACCCACCCGTCCAGGGGCCCCCTGGCCCCCCTGGTCCCCCGCCTCCTTCCTCTGCGGTTTCCCAGAGCCCCCAGCGTCCTCCCCACGCAGGCGGGCCCCTCCCCAGGCCCTGGGTGTCCCTCCTCCACAGCTTTTCAGCCGGAGACGTGGTGCTGATCCAGCCCGAGAACACAGCCAGCCACGTCCAGCAGTTCTGCCAGGCGCTGGGCCTGGACCCCGAGCAGCACTTCACGCTGCAGCCCCGGGAGCCGGGTGAGCCTCGGAGGCCGCGGCGCTCGCACACTGCACTCCCCACTGTGCTCCCCCATTGTGGGCAGGAGCTGGGGGAGTGCCTGGGCCTGGGCCAGGGCCCGGGGGAGCTCCTGGGGCCCACAGGACAGCCCCCGGGGAGGCCCTGGAGGTGGCCAGGGGAGGATCTGGATCTGGGGCCAGGGCCCGGGGGAGCACCTGGGGCCCGCAGGACAGCCCCGGGGAGGGCGTCAGCTGGTGAGCGGGCTGGGACCCCCGCTGCAGCCACGGCTCCCTGCTGCTGTCCCCCCAGGTGTTGTGCGACTTCCCCCACACGGCTGCTGCCGTCCCCCCAGACTACCTGCTGGACCTGGTGCCCCTGATCCGGCCCCGGGCCTTCTCCATCGCCTCCTCTCTGCGGGTGAGAGAGGAAGGGCCAGCCTCGCGGGGGCAGGGGGACCCCCAGGGCCGGGCACCCACTCTCCGCTCCCCCAGGCCCACCCCTCGCGGCTGCAGATCCTGGTGGCCGTGGTGCAGTACCAGACCCACCTCCGGGAGCCCCGCCGTGGCCTCTGCTCCAGCTGGCTGGCGTCCCTGGACCCTGTGCAAGGTGACCCTGGCTCTTTGGGGTAGGGGGTTGGGCCCTGGCCCTGCGAGCCTCTTCAAGCCGCCTCCCTCATGCCATAGGACCTGTCCGGGTGCCCCTGTGGGTGCGGTCTGGGGGCCTGACATTCCCAAAGACGCCAGGCGTGCCCGTGATCATGGTGGGGCCCGGCACCGGTGTAGCCCCCTTCCGAGCGGCCATCCAGGAGCGAGTGGCCCAGGGCGAGACCGGTGAGCGGAGTCGGGCAGGGAGTGGCCGGCCGAGCCCCGCGAGGGCAGCTCCAGGCTCAGGCCCTTCTCCCCGCCTCCCCCCCAGAAAACGTGCTGTTCTTCGGCTGCCGCCGGCAGGACCAGGACTTCTTCTGGGAGGCCGAGTGGAAGCAGCTGCAGGCAAGGGGCTGCCTGACTCTGGTTACGGCCTTCTCCCGAGAGCAGGTGTGTGCCAGGCGGGGGCGGAGCGGGACGCCCAGGGCGCAGACTCAGACCCGCCCCCGCCCTGCAGGAGCAGAAGGTGTACGTGCAGCACCGGCTCCGCGCGTTTGGGCCGCTGGTGTGGGAGCTGCTGGAGGGCCGGGGCGCCCACTTCTACCTGGCAGGGTGAGCCTGGGCTGCGGGTGGTTGGAGGGGCGGCCCCCTGGGGACGCCACCTGCGCTGAGCGCTGTCCCTCCTGCCCCTCCAGCAACGCCAAGTACATGCCAGCCGATGTGTCCAACACCCTGCTGTCCATCTTCCGGGAGGAGGGCGGGCTCTCTGGCCCCGATGCGGCCACCTACCTCGCCCAGCTGCAGCGGACACTGCGTTTCCAGACTGAGACGTGGGCCTGAAGGGCCATCCTGCTGTTGGTCGCAGCCACCCTGCCCGACGCTCTCTGGGGGCTATTGTTGGCTCTCGCCCTGTCTGCTCCCAGCTGGGAGGGTGGTCAGCTCGCCTGCACAGACTTCAGCAGTAGGAGGTGGCCCTGGGCAGCACACACCTGCCCTCCCAGTTCCAGGAAAGCCTCAGCAATAAACGCCGGGCTCTTGGTGGCTGCTTCCTACCTACTCTTTGTGCAAAAGTGGGCCTCGGGTGGTGGGTGTTCCAGAGAGGGTCTGGATGGAACAGCCAGCCCCTCTGGGCACGGGCACCGTGGCTCAGCCCACACTTTGGTGCCTGAGTCTGATGATGAAGGTGCCGGCCGTTTGCCCACCTTGTGCAGACTCTGCCCTTGCCCTCAGGGCCAAGCAGGAAAGGCACCCGGCCAGGCTGCTGTTGACCATCCCTTACCAGCTCAGGGAACAGCTGCCCAGAACCCCCAGGAGGGAGGGAGGGGGCGTGGCCTGGGTTGGAGAGAAGGGGTGTGGCTCAGACTGGTAGGGAGGGAGGTGTGAGTGGAGTCCCCACCCCTGGGAGGGGAATTCCTGTTGGAGGAGTTGGACTGGCCTGCCCACACGGCCACCGCCTGGAATCCAGCTGGCCGTCCCTGGCTAACACAGGGACCGCCGTGCCTGTGGCCAGGCTTGGGCAGATCCTGTCGGAGACGGCACGCTGGGCCTGGGAGCCTCCGGGGCACGGGGGCCCCAGTGAAGTTTCTAGTGGGGCCCGCAGCCAGAAGGAGGCGGCAGTTGCTGCAAGGTCAGTGCCAGAGCCTGCCCTAGCCGCGGAGGGCCACACTGACCTTCAAGGCCCCAGCCACCCCGCCGCCACCCTGGGGTCCCCACCCACCCATCCCGGCCTCTGCCCTGGAGGCACCACCCCTGAACTGTGCCCTGGGGTCCCCACTGGTGGCCCTGCTGACCTCAGCTCTGGGCTCACCTGTCTGCCTCCGGGCCCTGAGCACTTGGACCCACCACACCAAGTGCTGGGAGAGGATGGGTCGGGCAGCGGGGCCCTGGGGAAGCCCCAGGGTGCCAGGACTCCGGACAGTGAGCCCCTGCTGGGGGCCACAGCCGCGGCCCCACCCTGGGCCAGGCACACAGAGGACGAGCAAGCGCAGCAGGAGGTGGAGGAGTGCCCCATCTGCATGGAGCCCTGCGGGCCTGCCCACCGCCTGGCCCTGCTGAACTGCGGCCACGGCCTGTGCACGGGCTGTCTGCACCGGCTGCTGGCCACCGCTCCCGGCGACCTGGGCCGCGTGTGCTGCCCGCTGTGTCGCCAGAAAACCCCCATGCTCGAGTGGGAGATCTGCCAGCTGCAGGAGGAGCTGCTGCGGGCCGACAGGCCCCCGCGCCCCCCGCCCCCCACCCCGCCTCTGCCTGCCCACCGCGGCCGTGGGCCCTGGGCCTCCCTGGAGCACCGCTACCAGCTGCGCTTCCTGCCAGGGGCCGTGGGAGGCCGAGGCTGCCTGCCCTTCCTGCCCTGCCCGCCCTGCCTGGGCGCCTGGCTCTGGGCCCTGCGGGGACGCGGGCCCTGCGCCCGCCGCCTGGCGCTGCTGAGCCTGCTGGCGCTCGAGCTGCTCGGCCTGCTGCTCGTCTTCACCCCGCTGCTGCTGCTGGGGCTGCTCTTCGTGCTGCTGGATGGCTCCCGCCGCTGACGGCCACACGCCTGCCGCCGGCACGGCCTGGGCCTGGGCCAGCCTGAGTGCCGGGGCCCCGGGAGCATCCTGCCCTGAGGCCCGATGACCAGGACTGAAGAACCCAGGGCTGACCAGGACGCTAGCCGTCATCCTGGGGCCTGGACAGGGCTGCCCTGCAGCCTGCGTTCAGACTCTGACCCAGCCCAAGACGTCTACTGTCCAGACACGAACTGCCGGCGCCCAGCACAGCACTGGAGGAGGTCCGTGGCCAGGGCTTCAAGAGCCCCTCGATGGACAGGCCCCACCCCACTGCTGGGTCTCCTGCCCGGCTGGTCTGCAGGGGGGGGCGCCGTGGACCCAAGTGTTCCCTGAAGGTCAGGCAGCCTGTGGGGCCCCTGCTGCACAGGTCCAGGCCACAAAGGGCCCCCTCACCTGGGCTGTCGGGAGCCCAGCGGACCCGAGCAGCCTGGGTGTCAGCACACGCCCCTCCACTTCGAGGGCCCAGGGCCCCGCCGGGTCCTGCAGCCAGAGACTGCCAACCGGGCCCCAGCTTTCCCAACCCCACCGCAGCGCCCCTCCCTGAGCCTGCAGCCTGCGCCTGATGGACACTATCACAGCCCCACCTCATGGGCTGGTCGGTACTAGGGGCGGCTCTCAATAAACAGGGACTGTGACCAATGCTGTCGTTTCTGCATCGCCCTCCCCTCTCCCCTGCCTTCACCAGCCGGGCGATGGTTCCTTCTCCAGATGCAGTCGTCCAGTGCCGGCCAGGAGGCCCTGTACCCCACTGTAGCTGTGGCCAGCCTTTGTCCCAGCCCCAGCTCAGACAGGCCCCAGGGCTGTGCCCACAGGGAGTCAGGCGGGCTCTGGGGCCCAGGTGGGCTGCCTCATGCCCCCGGCTGCACTCACTCCCAGTGGCCAGCGCAGAGAAGGTGCCCTCCCTTTGTCCAGCTGGCCCTGCTCTGCCCAGCCGCTCCCACAGTCCTGCCCGGAGCACATAGGTGGCTCACGCACATGCACACATGTGCACACACAGGCCCTGCCTCGCCCACAGTGAGCAGAGCAGGCTGACCCCAAGTACTGGGCCTCCCTCTGGCTGCTCAGCCTGGGTCCCACTGGGGCTGCTGCTCTGGGTGCCCATTCCCCCCGGCCCGGGCCTGTGAGCAGGCCTCGGCTTCAGTGCAGGGCACGAGGTGCAGGCTTTGGCAAAGAGTTTTAATGGCAGAGTTGGCTGCAGCGACAAAGCCACACGGGTGGGGCCAGAAGCTGTGGTGGGCACGGGGTTAGCGGGCAACAGGGCAGGGCCAGACCTCTGAAGCAGCGGCGAGCAAGGACTGGCGGGCGGTGGCAGGCAGGCTGGTGGGCGCTACATGATGGAGCAGGCAGACAGCGGGTTCCGCACGTGGCAGGTGCACGCGGCCCCACAGTACTGCCGGAAGGTCTGGTAGCAGCTGCCCTCGGGCTCACCACCCCACTGGCCACCCGACGGGGCGGTCAGCGCCTCAGGCGGCAGGCGGCTCAGGATGGATGTGTTGATGGCCAGGGCGGCCAGGCCGTAGTCAGTGAAGAGCACAGTCTCGCGGCGGCACGTGGGGCAGGAGATGAACTTATACTTGGGGCAGGACTCGTAGAGAATCTGCAGGCACTGCTCACACACGGAGTGCAGGCAGGACAGCACGCGGGGCCGCCTCTGCGTGGCATTGTACGTGTGCCCACACGTCGGGCACTCCAGAGGCTCCCCCGCAGCCGCGGCCACCGCCGCCGCAGGGGCCCCCGGGGCCGCAGGGCCAGGCCGGATCACGTACTGGTTCACGATGACCTCGTCCGCTGGCGCCACCCGGGGGAAGCCTAGCTCGGCGCTGCCCTTGCGGGGCCGCCGTGGCAGAGGCGGGGTGCAGGGCGCCCCTTCCAGGGCGGGCATGTCCCCCCCACAGGCCTGGTTGACGATGATCTCTGTGTCTGAGGGCCAGGCTCGCTTGGGTGCCAGAGCTGGGGCGGGCCGGGGCGCAGGTGGGAAGCAGGGGGCGGCCGCCTGCAGCTCGGGGAACTTCTCAGGGTGGACCATCTTCATGGCCTCCATCTTGAGGATGACATGGGGGCCCTTCAGGCAGGACATGAGGAAGCCTGGCCAGCCACCGCCCGCCTCGGGCCCCGGGTCAGCCGGCATCCGGCTGTCTCCAGTCAGGCTGGGTGCTCGGGTGGGGGGGGGAGTTGGGTGGGGCCGGGGGGGTGGCGAGGGGACAGCATCCTGGCTGCCCTGTGGACTCCTGGGGGAGGCGGGCAAAAGCTTGGGGGGAAGGGCCCCCCCCAGCGGCCACAGTGGCTTCTCAGGTCCGGTCCTCGGAGGAGGAGGAAGGGGCGGGGGAGGAGGAGAGGGGCAGGGGCAGGGGGGTGTGGGCAGCTGCCCTGGGCCTGAGGTCGGGCCCAGGGGCTCACCCAGGGTCTCTGGCCTCTGAGGCTGGCCAGGGGGCGTTGCAGGAGATCCCCCTGCAGCCGAGATCAGCCGTCCCGGGGCCCGGACATCCGGGCAGGCAGAGGCTAGGTGGGCCCCATGGCTCCAGGACAGGGCGCCCAGGGAAGGCAGCTAGCCTGAGCGCGGGCCGCCAAAGGACCCGGGCGGCAAGCTTGGGGTTGGCAGCGGAATCGCAGGAGAGGCCGGGGCTGGGCCGGAGCTGCAGGTGAGAGACGGCGTGAGGTCAGCGCCCGGGCCCACCCCTACCCTGTACAAAAGACGGGGCGCCCGACCTCTGACCCCGACCCTCGCCAGACTCGGAACCCAGCCCCTTCCGCAGCCCCCCGCGCCCGAGGCCCGACCTCTGCCCAGGAGTGGGGGCAGGCGAGCGGCGACCCCGCGCTGTCCCGCCCCGCCCGCACTCACCTGCCCCAGCCTGGCGTCCCCGGGCCGGGCCGCGCGCCGCCGCCTCCGCAGAGGTTGTCTCAAAGGCAGGCCTGGATGCGGCGCCTCGGCGCCCGCAGCGCCACCCCCCGTCTGGGGACCCGCGCGGGGTCCGCGGGGCGGGGCCAGTCTCTCTGCCGCCCCTCGATCCGCCGCGGGCCTGGCGCCCGCTCTGGGGGTCGCCCTCCCTTCCCCCCGCGGGCCCCGTGGGGGTCGGGATCCCTACGGCAGGCCCCCTCCCGTCTCCCCCACCTACGGCCCCGCCTGCTGACCCTGGGTCCTGGTCAAGCCCCCTGCCCCGATTCTGGAAGGGAAGGAGTGCTCTGAGATCTCACAATACCAGAGGGAGGAAGTGGAGAGGGAGCCCTGGGGTGGTCCCAGGAAAGCCGGCCCCCAGCCCCCATCGTGAGACCATCATGTGTCCTCTGCAGAGGCAGGGTCTCTGCCAGTCCTTCCCCTCGGCCCCCAGAGAATGCCTCCGGGCTGTTCCGGCTCACAGGTGCCCAGCTCAGGTCGGCTGAGGGCAGAAGAGGGTGAGCAGGAGTGGGCAAGCGCACATTGGAGGAGTGGAGGATGGAGGAACGATGGCTGGGAGAGTGCTCCAAGGACAGGACAGTGGAGCAGAATGGGTGGTGTAAGGGGCGCGCAGAAGGTCAGACCGACGACAGGACAGGCCCCATGGGGCAGCTCATGGAGGACACGCACCTACACAGACGGGCGGGGTGGCCTTTCGGGCACCCTAGCAGGTCAGCAGGTGCCCCGTCGTCACACAGCTGTGTGCTAACCTGACCCCACCCAGCAAGGTCCCATTCCTTTCTGCTTCTTCCTGGGGCCATGCTTCCCTGCCCCCCAGGATACACCCTCTGCCTGTGAGGAGCTGTCAGGTGAGGGGGAGGGCAGGGAACTGGGGTGGCCTGGGCCTGCGGAGTGCCTTTCCCTAGCCTGCTGTGGCCACTACGTGGCTTGCTGGCATTCCTTTGACCAGCACTGGGCCCTGCTTCTGACCCTGGACAGACCCAGCTCCTCTGGCCACAGAGGCTCTGCTCTGTTACAGGCTAGGGTGCCCCTGGCTATAGACCTAAGCCCGGCTCCTGCAGGGCAGCAGAGTCCAGCGCGGTCGGCATTCCTTATGAAGGGCCCCCCGTGGGCAGGAGCCTGGAAAGGCGTTCTGCGCCCACAGGCCTGACTTTGCTGTCTCTGAGACCTCAGTTTAGTGCCTGCCCTTCAGTGTCACCCACCACTCGGGTGTGAGAGCTGTTCACGTGAGCAGGTGCCCAAGGGAGGGGCAGCGAGGGGCCCTGGCCTCCGGAAACTGAGGCAGCCTCGTCCAGGCGAGGGCTGGGGGCCTAACCTGGGCAGCCGCTCTGCTCAGGCCCCTCCTGCCCCAACTCGAGGCCCCGCCCCAACTCGAGGCCCCGCCCCTGGGCTGAGGCCCCGCCCCGCCCGGGCCCGGAAGCGCAGCCCCCGGGCGGCCCAAGCCCGGTTCTGGCGGGAAGAGGCCCGCTGACCCCGAGCCTGGTCTTTGGCAAAACCTTCGAGCGCGGAGGCTTCTGGGGACTACAGTCCGCACCAGCCGCCCGCTTCCTTCCAGGCCAGGTTTGCGCACGCGCCTGCCCCCGCCCCTCCGCCGAGGCGGACGCAGTGGGGCGGCGGGCGGGGCCCGCGGAGCCTGCGCGGTGGGCCCTGCGCGGTGGGCCCGGCCCTGCGCGGTGAGCCCTGACCTGCAGGTTGGGCCGTGCGCGGTGGGCCCGCGCCATCGGCCCCCCGATTCCGGCTCTGGCCCGGTTACCCCCCGCATTCGGTGCCGCATCGGTAGAGCTTGTGCCCAGACCGGTCTGACTGGCCCCACACCGGCCGCGCGGGTCAGCTGGCCTCTGGGCCACGTCTGATTGGACCCCGCCCTTCCCGGAGGCGCTCCCTCAGCCACCCCCCCATCCCCCCACCCAGAGCGCGAAGGACGAGGGGTGCGGGCCTGGCCGCCCCAGGCGGAGCTCGGCAGTGCCAGGGCCGAGAGCGCACCTCCACTGTGACCCCGCACACAGCGGCCCCAGGGCATGGCAGGCGCCAGGCGCCACCTCAGACATGAAGCTGGGGGAGGTGGGAGGGCCGAGGATGGGGGCCCTGAGAGACGGGGGGCTGCCCACAGGCCCCCGGACCAGAGCGAAACTGTAGTTTCAAAAATGAGCCTAAAATGTCACTTGTGTATGAAACTCATGTTGCCAATAGTGAAATAAGTTTTATCGGTAAAGGTATGCAAACCAAACATTTTTTATCAGTTAAAAATACAGTAAACCTCCGGGCAGAGCGGCGTGCTCACTAATACCCTGGTCTCTGCCTGCGGGGAAGAGGCTCAGGTCACCGTGCAGGCCTCTCCCTCCGCTTCAAAGCAGTGGCTTTGAGACTGTGGGTGACGGCCAGGCACCAGACCATCTGCGGCCCTGACCCAGGCTCCTGTCCTGCATTCTGGTGACCTGCTGGCTCCCCGAGGGCCAGGACATGCCCCAGATGGGTCAAGGCTGAATCAGCCAGGCTGGCAGGGTCCCTGGGAGCCCAGACCTGGCCACCGCCCATCCAGGAAAGGAAGGGTGGGTGGCCGCTATGCTGCAGGACCTGGGGCCTCCTGGCATCTTGGGAACCCTGGCTTTGAGCCCCGCCCGAGGCCCCGCCCCTCCCCAGGAGGAAAAAGGCAGCTACCAGAGGCTCAGCTCACTCGCGCGGGGACCGGGACAGGAGGACAGCTCGCCGCCATCTCCGCTCCAGGTGGGTCCTGGGCTAAGGAACTTCCCCACCCTCAGTCGGACCGGCTTAGCTGCGTCTCCCAGCCCCCCCCACCCTGCTTCCAGCTCCATCACAGGGCCCTGCCACTCAGGGAGGGCGAAGGATACCTGGGGACAGCTGAGAGATGCTGGCCCTCACGGTCCCTACACTGCAATCTTGCACACACACACACAGGCCTTGCACTCTCAGGCACTTCCATGACCTGGCTTATCTTGGGATGCAGCTGTTGCCCTCCATGGAGCTGACTTTGTCTCCTTTGCTCACCCTTGCCAGGCAGGGCCATGGACCCCCATGAGATGCTCGTCAAGAACCCATATGCCCACATAAGCATCCCGAGGGCTCACCTGCGGCCTGAGCTGGGGCAGCAGCTGAAGGCGAGCCCGTCCTCTGCAGAGTCGCAGCCTCTGCCCGTGCGGTCCTGCACCCTGGAGCCTCCAGAGGAAGCCCCGGGGCCCAAGGGCGCCAAGGGGGCTGCCTCCATTTGGGGCCAGCCGGCCTGTGAGCAGCCCTGCAAGCCCTGTGGCAGCGGGCAGCGCCCAGCAGGACTGGCCTACGCCGGCCCGCCGCCCATCGGGCGCGGCGACGACATTGCCCATCACTGCTGCTGCTGCCCCTGCTGCTCCTGCTGCCACTGCCCCCGCTTCTGCCGCTGCCACAGCTGCTGCTGTGTTGTCTCCTAGCCCGGCCCCCACTGGCCCCGAGGCCCGGCGCTGCCAGTGGGCCTCTGCTCAGGCGGCCACGCAAGTGCCTGGACAGTTGGGACCACCACTGTGATGTTGTCATGGGCACTGGCCGCTCCCCTCCCTAGACAGCTGCACCTCACCCACTGGGAAGGCTAACAGGTCAGCCCAGGCCCCTGGAACGGAGCCCTGGGCACTGCCTGTGCTGGGGACACCCTTGACTATCTCTTCGAGGCCCAGGCCCAAGCAATAAAGCCATGCGAGCTCTGTCCTGGACCCTTCTTTCTTGCCACCGTCCCCTTTGGGAGGGTCCCAGGCTAAATGCCAGCCGAGACCACCAGCCTCTGTGGGACAGTCAGGGGCAGGGCAGCCTCAGGGCATCCTGACCGGCCTCAGGTTGGCCCACGGGCTGGACAGGAAGGCCAGTCAGGGGCAAGTCAGACGGCAGGAGGATGCTGTGCGTGGAACCAGGCCCCGAGCCCGAGACAAGCCTCCCGGAGGAGGGCCCGGGTGGCAGCACCGTGATGGGTGGAACCAGCACGGGCAGGTTTCTGGGGGTGGGAGCCCGGGGCCTAGCGCGTGGCCAGCCCACATGTGAGTCAGCGCCCTGCCTCGGCCGCTGTGTCTTCCTGCTTTCCCACAGAACACCCCGGTCCCTGACGTCTGCTCTGTGCTGCTCCCCACTGCTCTGCCTCTGGGTCCCGGGCTTTGTGGAGGTGGGCAGACGGTGCCGGGCCAGACCCATCTCCCAGCTGTCTGAGCAGCTCGGCACACCTGCGTGGGGGGCCTGGGGTGAGGCAGGGAAGCGCATGTGCAGGGGGAGCATCCAGGCCAGCACCAGGCACCTTGACACTCTCGGGACAGGGCAGAGAGCTGGAGGAGGCAAGCTGGCCTCGCAGGACGGACGGGTCCTGGTGACAGCCCTCCCCTGACCCCTGGTGACTGGCCGCGTGGCAGGACCGGTCTCTGGGTGTGGGCAGACATGTCATTGACCTGACTACACGGGGACTCAGACATGCCAGGTTCCCGGCCCCTGCCCCCTGGCTGGCCTTCACAGGAAGGTGACCCCACCCGGGGCAGCCACAGAAACCCGTCCAACCAGCCCAGGAGGCCGAGGATGCCAGGCTGGTGGGACTAAGGAGGGGCCCTCTGGCCCTTGGTCTCCTCCAGCGGGGGAGGTTCTGGGGTCTGACCCCCTCCCAATCCTCCCTGACACACCCCATCCTGCTATGCCACCGGGCTGGCCCCGGGGCCTCGGCCAGGTGTATACTGGGGGGTGTTGGCCTCTGAAGGGGCGTTTGGGGCTTTCCACAGCGCCCTGCGCCTGGGAGTTTCTGGGTGGTCTGTCCACTCCTGTGCTCACGGGCCTCCTCGTGGGGCTGGCTTGTGATGGGAACACCGAGGGGATGAAAAGGCTCTGCGGCAATTCAGCACGGACTCACGCACAGTGCCCGAGCCATGGGGTGGCGGGGCCTTCGGGGCTCTGAGCTGGTGGGGGTCCTGGCAGGGTTCCTGGAGGAGGTGACGTCTGACCTGAGTGCTGAAGAGCAGGCAGCACCCAGGCAGAAGCCAGGAAGCTTTCCCGTCGTGAGTGGCGGTCGAGTATGAATGGGCGCAGGTCCAGGTTGCGAGGCAGGAGACCGGGCTGTGCTGCCGGCGTGGGGGGGAGCTGGGCAGGCGGAGCAGGGGCGCCCCGGCTCCAGCCCCATTGGCGGTGCTGGTGGATCCAGTTGCAAGCGCTTTGTGGCTGAAAGGGGAGCCCACGCGGCCTGCAGCTACCACCTGCCTCCCCGCTGACTGGTCCACGTTCAGCCAGTAACGTGAGCCCCAGGCGCCCCGGGTCCCCCCACCCAGTCCCCGGTCACCCTCGGTGTGGACACGGCCGCCCGGCAGAGCAGATGCAGGTAAGACAGACCTGGGGCTGGAGCAGGCTGGGGGTGGGGGGTGGGGGGCACGAGCCTGGGACGGTGCCCCAGGGCCACCGAGACCGGACCACAGGCCAGGCCACTGCCTGACCGGCAGTCACAAGGACTGAGCCTGCGCCCAGGCCCTGGTGCTGGCCAGCCCCACCGGCCACCGCCCACCTCCGAGGTCTGCAGAGGCCTGGGCTCCCGTCCTCTGGGGCCGGGGGAGCACTTCCTGTGCTGAGCCCAAACCTGGGGGACGCTTGCAGAGGCTGTACCGCCCCCCATCCCTCCCCAGGATGCTGCTGCCGGAGGGGCCCCCAGCCTCTGAAGAGGCCACGGCTGCTGGGCCCCAGCGCGGCGACTGCATCGTCTGCTACTCGGCCTATGACCTCACCGGGCACCTGCCCCGCCGTCTCTACTGCGGCCACACCTTCTGCCAGGCGTGTGTGCGGCGGCTGGCCACGCCAGCCCCCGAGCAGTGCTGGGTCCCCTGCCCGCAGTGCCGCCAGAGCACGCCCGTGCCCCGCGGAGGGGTGGCCATGCTGGACCTCGATCTGGCCGCCTTCCTGGCCGTCAGGGCCGGGCGGGGGCTGTCTCGCCTGGAGCTGCAGCCCCCGGGGCCCCACAAGGGCAGCCCCACCATCACCCAGCAGCCGGCCAGGCTCCTCCCCATGTCGAGCCCCCCGCCCCACTTCCCCCAGCCCGGAGGCTGCTGCCCAGCATGCCGTAGCCTCTGCTGGGATCCCCCAGGCAGTCCCCAGCTCTGAGCTCTGCTGGGCGCCGCCCCTTGGAGGGGAGCCTTGGCCTGCAGCACAAGGCACGGCCTTCCAGAAACAGCCCGGCGGCGGGGTGCCCCAGTTGCCGCCCCGCGTGTTCGCTGAGGGGCCACCATCTGAGGTCGTGAGCTATGCCCACAGCGCAGTGCGCCCCTGCAGGAGCTGGAATCTGGGCCAGGACCCCCAGGCCCCACGGTGGTCTGTGTGCGCTGCCGGGGCGCTGCTGTCAGTCGCCTGCGAGCCCAGCCCAGGTCTGGACGTGGCTCAGAGGCGGCTCCTGAAAGGGTCTGGGGGCCAGTGTCTGGGCCTGGGCTGCAGGCTGGGGGAGGCAGGCAGGGCCCGCAGAGGCTGCTCCTGGCCCTGTTGGAGCAGGCCCCCTCCTCATAGAGCCCTGAGCCCGGCGGGAGGTGGCTGCCTGCACCCTGACCTGCGAGGTGGCTCTGTGAGGCCCACCCGCTCACTGCCCCAGGCCTCCGCTGCGTCAGGCACTGTTTGGGAAGGGTCCCTGCAAACACGGTGGCTGCTACTGCAGTAGGTGTGCAAGGAAGTCCAGGCCGGGGGGTGACTGCTGAGGGGCGCTCAGGACAGCTGCCCCCTCCCCGGGCCCATGGCAGCCTCTGCCTCCTCGGGGTGGCCACACAGACCCTCAGAGGGACTGGAGACAGACCCCACCGGTCAGACTGCTGCACGCCCACCCCCGCGCGGGAAGAAGGGGCTGTCGCTCAGGACCCCTGGAAGGGCGAGGGGCCCGCCCCAGCCGTGGGGGGCAGGATGGGAGGGACGGGCCAAAGAATGTGCTGAGAGGACACGAGGAAGCTTCCTCCTTCCCAGGGACAAAGTCCCCCCGGCACCGGCGGTTGGTGGACAACAGGCAGGGGCTCGAGACACCAGCTAGCCGGGGCGGGGCTGGCCCCCGCGGGACCGCTCACCCTCCCTGCATCCCTGGAGTGGGAAGGGGCCTGACTCCAGAAAGAGGCGCCCGTGAGCGAGGGGGCCGGACTCAGCTGGGGAGAGAGCCGGGTGGGCTCGGGCGCCGGGCTGAGCAGCAGTGTGGCCTGGGGTGAGCCCTCCCACCCCCTCCCACTTGCAGAAGAAGTCAATGACACCTGTGACTGTGACCGTTGCTGGTCACCTCTGGGGCTGCGCCACTTGGGATCTCTGCCAAGCCCTGAACTGGATGATCTCGGGGGTTGCTGCCCTCCCCGCCCACCTGGCGCAAAGAGCTTCCTTCTGGCCATGTGACCGTGGCAGGACAGGCACGAGAAGGCCTGCAGAGATGAGGGCAGACTTCCTGAGGGGTCTCCAGGCCAGCCGGCCAGCATGCCAGCATCCTGCCTGCCGCAGGCAGCCAGCATGCAGCATCCTGTCATGTCTCTCAGACGTCCACGTGCGGGAGCCCAGCTCTGGGGGCCAGCTGCCCAGCCCCGCTCACTGCCGGGTAATGGTGGGGCCTGGAAGAGGCAGGCACCCAGGGCTGCGACAGTACCCCTGGGGGGCCCTGGCTCCTGGGTAAACATTAATGGGCTCAGTACACAGCAGGTCATGTGTGCACCCAGCCGATCTTTGACCTGCAGCTGCTCTCAGCCCGTGTCTCCTCCCCGAAGGTGCCCCTCACTGCCCACACAGGTAGGAGCTTCTAGGACCAGGTGGGGGCCCAGGACACTGGGGTCAGGGCTGGGTGACCTCCAGGCCCAGTGAGGCCCACCTCACTCTCCAGCAGCTGAGGTTGAGAGACCAGCTTGGGGGCAGCCAGAGGGAGAGGTTACGGCAGGCTCCCCAGGACCCGGGCCCTGGGGGCTCCAGGCCCAGCAGGCTGAGGAAGGAGCCTTGAGGCGGGGTGGGGTATCAAGCCCCTTGTCCCGCTCCCCATCACTGGGAGTGGGCCCTTATCAAGTTGCTGTTTGGTACCAAATGCCAAAGTCTAAGCTGTGACCGTCTGCAGTGGTCTCTATGACACCCGATAGGAGACGCCCCGGAGTCCTGACCACTTCCGGCTACACCCTAGCACCAGGGTCACCCACCAGCCCTCCTTCCAGCCAGAATCAGCGGCGAGCCAGGGCTCCCTCCACCCTGTCCCCTTAAACTGGACTGCGCTCACCTGACAGCCACCTGGGGTCACTTTAGCCATCCCCCTGCGGACGGAGGAAGGGGGAGACCACCGAGGCCAACAGCAGGTGGGAAGGGGGGCCGGTGGGAAGGTCTCGGGCCAGGGCACCCCAAGAGCTGGCAGGCAGGGGCGACGTTGAACTGCCCTTCTCCCTGGCAGATCTGGGTTTGGGCCTGGGTCTGTTCCTGCCTGAAATCCATGCCGCATCCCCTCACTGGTGGCCCGGCCCCTCCTGCCCCTCTGGACACAGTTGGCCTGGTGGACCAGAGGCTGGGAAATGCAGGTACCAGAAACTCAGGTTCCCAACCTCCACTGGCATCCCTGCCCACCCACCTGGTCCCTGACCCATCGCTCTGGGGAAGCTGGGAGAGGGGTACCAGCCGGTCCCCAGGAGAGCCCACAGGCCAGATCCCTCCTTCCCACTCCCGTCCCTCACCCCAAGCCCTGTGCTGCGCCCCCCACACACACACACTTGAAGGTGTCCAGGAAACAGCTAGGTCCCTGGCCCTCGCTGACCCCGACCCCTACAGGGATCTCTGGTTCTGCCTCCATCCTGGAAGACAGAGACATGGACCCCTGGGCCCTCCCTCAGCTGAAAGACACCAGCCAGTCCTGGAAAGGTATGTTCGGAGGCACCGGGCAGCTAGTCCAATGTGGCTCCACCTCGCCGGGTGTGTCTGGAGAGGGTTCTTGGGGAGAGAGCGAGGAGGGGCTTTGCTCCAAGAGGCCACATGGAGACGCGCTGCAGACCCCAACCAGGGTGCCCGGGCCTTCAGCGGGACTGCTGCCCGCCACACTGGCACTCCTCCTCCGTCCTGTGGGCAGTTAGGCTCCCAGGAGACCCCAGAGGGCTGTCGGCCTGAGCATTGTGCCAAGGGACAGAGAAGGGGCGTTGGGGCTCTGCCTGGGAAGGGGGAGAAAAGGGGCCTGGGAGGGGTGCACGGGAGGGTGGGGCCCGCCAAGGACCACCCTGCCCTGTCCTCAGAGCTCAGCGCGGCTGGCAGGGCGCTGCGGGTGCTGGTCGGCTTCCTCAAGGCCTGCGGGCTCCTGGGCGGACTCTACCTCTTCATCTGCTCCCTGGACATCCTCAGCTCCGCCTTCCAGCTGCTAAGCAGTGAGTGACCCACCAGGTGGCTGCTGGCTGGTGGCCAGCCCGCCCTCCCCACCCTTAGGATACCTATCTCCTGGGCGCAGGCAAAGTAACCGGAGACATCTTCAAGGACAACATGGTGCTGTCCAACCCCCTGGCTGGACTGGTCATTGGTGTGCTGGTCACAGTCCTGGTGCAGAGCTCCAGCACGTCCTCCTCCATCGTGGTCAGCATGGTGGCCTCCAAGCGTGAGTGCCCCTCCCCTCCCGGGATGGTGGGGGGGTGGGGGCAGCTGGCTGACGCAGCGCCCCCACAGTGCTGACCGTCCGGGCCTCTGTGCCCATCATCATGGGTGTCAACGTGGGCACATCCTTCACCAGCACCCTGGTCTCGATGGCACAGTCGGGCGACCGGGACGAGTTTCGGAGGTGAGCGGGGTAAGGAGTGGGCAGGGGCCGGGGTGGCAGTACGGGTGGTGGCCGAGACCAGCACCCAGCTGCCTCTGTGTGACCCCAGGGCCTTCGGCGGCTCAGCCGTGCATGGCATCTTCAACTGGCTCACGGCGCTGGTCCTGCTGCCGCTGGAGAGTGCCGCAGCGCCCCTGGAGAGGCTCAGTGTGCTGATCCTGGGCGCTGCCAGCCCGCAGCCCGGGCGGCATGCACCCGACATCCTCAAGGTGCTGACCCGGCCGCTCACACACCTCATCGTGCAGGTGAGGCTGCTGGCTCCTTTCCGGCAGGACCCGCAGGCCAGGGCCTGGCTGGGAGGGCTTTGCTGGGGAGACGGGTCTGGGCCCGGGGTCGGGCGGGGCAAGAGAGGGGTCCAGCACGGTGGACTGGCTGCAGTCCTCTGAGCCCCAGGCCAGTCCTGAAGGACCGACGCCAGACCCGGATCCTCTGTCCCCAGCTGGACGCTGATGTCCTTACGGGCAGCGCCACGGGCAACACCACCAACCGGAGCCTTATCAAGCGATGGTGTGGCACCAGGGAGCAGACGGTGAGGGGCCGCTGACCCCTGAACCCCACCCCGCCTACTCTGAGCCCGTTCTGAGCCCCACCGCCTTGCCTTCCCAGACCGCGGCGAACAGCAGCCACTGCGGAGGGGTGGCAGGGGGCCCCTGCCCTGGGAAGAGCGGCTCTGCGTCTGAGGAACCCTTGCCCTGTGAGGCCCGGTCCCGCGCGCCCCCTCCCGCGCTGCGCGCCCCCGCCACCCCCCGCTGGCCGCGGCTCATCTGCCCCTGCCCTGCCCCAGGCGGCCACCTGTTCGCAGGCACGGCGCTCACGGACCTGGCCGTGGGCCTCATCCTGCTGGCCGCCTCCCTGCTCCTGCTCTGCTCCTGCCTCGTCCTCATCGTCAAGCTGCTCAACTCCACTCTGCGGGGCCGCGTCGCCCAGGCCGTGAGGACCGTCATCAATGCCGGTGCGGCGGGAGGCGGGGCGCCGCGGGGGTGGGGGCCGGGAAGCCGGGCTCGGGGTCACTGGCTCTTGCTCCGCAGACTTCCCCCGCCCGTTTGGCTGGCTCAGCGGCTACCTGGCCATCCTCGTGGGCGCCGGCCTGACCTTCGTGCTCCAGAGCAGCAGCGTCTTCACCTCGGCCATCGTGCCACTCGTAGGTGAGCGGGACCCTCAGCACCTGGAGGGTGGGCTCAGGGCCCGTGACGGCCCCCGGCTCCCCCAGGGGTCGGGGTGGCCAGCCTGGAGCCAGCGTACCCTCTCTTCCCGGGCGGTGGGGTGGGTGGGCTCAGGGCCCATGACGACCCCCGGCTCCCCCAGGGGTCGGGGTGGCCAGTCTGGAGCTGGCGTACCCTCTTTTCCCGGGTGGGTGGGCTCAGGGCCCGTGATGACCCCCGGCTCCCCCAGGGGTCGGGGTGGCCAGCCTGGAGCCAGCGTACCCTCTCTTCCCGGGCGGTGGGCTCAGGGCCCGTGATGACCCCCGGCTCCCCCAGGGGTCGGGGTGATCAGCCTGGAGCGAGCGTACCCTCTCTTCCTGGGCTCCAACACTGGCACCACCACCACGGCCCTGCTGGCGGCTCTGGCCAGCCCCTCGGACAGGCTGCTCAGCGCCGTCCAGGTACCGCCCTCTCGCACCCTCCCGGGCCTGCAGGCCTCTCCACTCCCAACGTGGGCCTGGGGCTTCCACTCTGGGTCAGTCCCCCTCCTGTCCGGTCTTGTAGGCTGGCGGTGGGATGTGTATCCTGGGGCCTCAGGCCCCGGTTCTCCTGGACTCCACCTCTGGCTGCCCACTCAAGCCCACAGTCTCGCCTCCTGGACCCCAAGGGCCCTGTGGGACTTCCCCTCTTCCCCTGCAACCTCGTCATTTCCAGGACCCTGTAGCCCCAGGCGTTCCTCCCAATTCCAGCTGGCAGCTCTCCTGAGAGACCGCTGTGGCCTCAAGCCCCTGCATCTCATCACCTCTGGGATGCCCCCCACACCCAGTGGCCTAAATGGCACAGGTCCCCACTTGGACGACGCCCCATCTCCCTCCGCACACCCCTACCCAGTCCCAATTCTGCCTCCAGGACGCCTCCTGCCAGCCCCCCAGCTCTGAGCCCGACTCCCAGTCCCATTCAGTCTCCCTGATTCTCTTCAGATTGCCCCTTGGGCCCCACTGCCTCCATCCCAGCACCCTGATAGGTGCAGCTCTGGAAAGCCTGGGTCTCACTGGACTGCTGCCCCCGAGAAGAGATGAACCCCAGCGCTCCCAACGCCCACCTGCTCTCTTGCCTCGGCTCTGTCTCTGTCCATTTAGAACCTCCCAGTGCAGGGTCCTGACCCCTTCCTCCAGGAAGCCCTCCGGACTGTACCCACCACAGCGACTCCTCGACTTCTCCAGGAAGGCCCTGGAGAGAATTGTGTTCCCTCCACGTGTAGCCCTGCAACTCCTCCTCGCAGGAGCCAGGCCAGAACCTGGGGCTGGGTGGCTAAGCCCACTGAGGGATGAGCATGAGTGGGGTTGCTGTGGATGAGGCATCGGCAAGCGAAGCCAGCTCAGGGGAAGGTGGGACCCACGGGGCGACAGACACGTAGTTACCGCGTGGCGATGCCACGCTAGGCTCCTGACCCGCAGGGCGCTGTGGGGTGTGGGGAGAGCGTGCCCACCACAGCTGGCCAGAATCTGCCCTCCCAGGTGGCCATCTCAGACAGACCTGGACGCCTCACCTTTCTGTCAGGACGGGGAGGGGTGAGCCTTGCATGGAGCCCAGGCTCCCGAGTCCTGCCCGCCCTCCTGCCCTCCCTCCAGGTCGCGCTCATCCACTTTTTCTTCAACCTGGTGGGCATCCTGCTGTGGTACGTCGTGCCCATCCTCCGGCTGCCCATTCCGCTGGCCAAGCACTTTGGAAACCTGACCGCCAGCTACCGCTGGGTGGCCATCGCCTACCTGCTGCTCTGCTTCCTGCTGCTGCCGCTGGCCGCCTTCGGGCTCTCCCTGGCGGGGGTCGCAGTGCTGGCTGCGGTCGGCGGGCCCCTGGTAGCGCTGGTGCTCCTTGTCGCCCTGGTCACCGTTCTGCAGCGGCACCGGCCGGCCTGGCTGCCCCGCCGCCTGCGCTCCTGGGCCTGGCTGCCCCCCTGGCTCCGCTCTCTGGAGCCCTGGGACCGCCTGGTGAGATGCTGCTGCCCCTGCCAGGCTTGCAGCCCCTCTCAGGCTGCATCCAAGGAGGCCCACTGCTATGAGAACCCCCAGGTTCTGGCCTCCCAGCAGTTGTGAAGGGTTGACCTCTGGCGGCCCTGGGGGGTCCCAGTAGCTTCCGGCTTCTGAGTCACCTGGGGCGCCTTCTTTGCAAATAAAAAAAGCCTGTACCCAGGTGTGGGCGGTCTTCTCTCCCCAATCGCAGGCAGCATGGGGAGGGCCCCCCTCGACCCCCAACTTCCCCCCACCCCGCCTCTGCCCGGTAGGGAGTGGGGGTGGGGCAGTGCCTTTGCCGCCATCCAGCGGACACTCGGGGGCTAGCGCCGAGCCCGAATAGGAGCTGGAAGTTCCCGGAGGTATGGCCAAACAGCGGACCCCGAAGCTCGAGCTCTGACTCTCTCCGCGGCCGCTGGCGGCAGAAGGCCCTGAGTGCGGCCTATCCAGAGCGTGGAGACTCCCCGTAGCAAGAAGCTCGGGGTCCAGGGAGGCTGGACACGGCCGAGGCCTTCTCTGTCGGTGCAGGGAGGGAGGGCGGACGCGCGCGCAGCTCGGGCGCCCTCCAGCCCCTGTCGGCGGTCGGCCTGGAGGGCGTCACGTGGCCGCTGCGGGGCCCCGAATTCCGCAGGTGCGTCGCAGAGTGGGGACCCAGTGAGGACCGGGTGGCCCCAAGACGCCCCGCTCCCCCGCGTCCCCGCTCTCCCGCGGCGCGGCACGGGGCTGCGGGGGTGGGGGCGCAGGGTCGGCGCGGGGCCGGCGGACCAGTGCGCGGTTACCCATGTCCGCCGGCCTGCACCGGGGCGGCCAGCGGCGCCACCCCGCCGACCTGGGAAGAGCAGGTGCTCAGCGCCCCCACCCCGGGGAGTGGGTCCTGCCCGCCACGCCCGGCGCCGCTCGCCCCTGGAGGCCGCGCCTACGTGAAACATCTCTGGGCCAGGTGCCCACCCGGCGGTGGCTCCCCTCCCCCTCCCCCTGCCCCTCCTGGCTGCGCCGTGGGTTTTCACATAGGAAGGCTTTTGTCTGGAGCCCGGCGCTGGTAACCGGACACCCCTCCGGTTCAGGGCTGCCCCCAACACCAGCCGGACCCTGTGCCTCCGCAGCCCTGGGAGGAGAGCGTTGGTGGATGCAGCCTCTCCCCCAGAATCCTGGCACCTTGGGGCGCCCTGTGCAGACCGCTGGGCAGCGCGGACCTGGGGAGGGCTTGGGGCAGGGTGTGTTGCCTGCTTTCTTGGTTTGTAGCTGCAACCGGTGACCGCCTTTTGATCCAGGAATGGGGGCCACATTCCTTTCTCGCTCCCCAGGTGTGCCTAGCCAAACCCGGTTGGGGGACAGGTGTGAATGGCCAGGAAGATGAGACGGGGACCCCAGAACCAATTACCGTCCACAGTGGCGGCCTGTCATTCATGCTCGGGTTCTCACGGACTCCTCTTCCCGTGTCCCCCAGCCCCTCTCAGCTCCCCATGTCTCCTGTGCTCCCAACAAGCTCCTAGATCTCCCGGGGCTGGGGCTCACCTTGGCCTCCAAAGGAGCTAGCCACCTGCTCTGAGACCCACAAAGGGCCTCGTGGGAACAAGACCCCTGAGGCAGGTCCATGTACCCGTCCTTGGCTTCCCCCACTTTTGTGACTCCAGGACACACCTGCCCTTCTGACGTCAGCCTGACTCCCATGGAAGTCCCTCAGTAGGGGCTGGGCCTGGCTGTTTCCCCAGGGACAGGGGGGCTCCCCTCCCCGTGGTGGGAAGGCAGTGAGAGGGGAAGCAAGTATCTCTCCTTCCGGGGGCGGGTGAGGCCGCCCACAAAGGCTGACTGCTGGGTCCTTTGAGGCCGTGAACCCCTGTCTGCCTGCTGCTCCCGCCTGGCGGTAATGCAGCCTCCCACTGGGACCATGGCCACCAGTAAACAGAGCGGTCGTTGAGGACGCCTTCGACAGCTGCAGGCTCAGGCGGGAGGGCCAGGCGCCCGGCACTCCCACAGCCCCGCCCACTCTGCCCTGTGTCCCGCTGGGCCACAGATCCCCCCTGGGCCTGGACCTCCCGCCAGCCCGGACCTGGTGGCTCGCTGAGCCCACCTCCAGCCTGCGGCAGGAACACCCTTGGTTAAGGGTGGGGACCTGCAGGGCCGCCCCCGCCACCGGCCCTGTGCACCAGTGCCGACGGTGGCCCTTGGCTGAGGGCCACGGGGAGGCCTGCTGCCTGTTCCCAGCCAGTGTCCACTTTGGAAGGGCAAGGGGGACAACCTGGTGCCACGAGGGCCCCTGGGCTCTCGCCTGGGTGGGTGACACAACCGTTTTGTTACCTGCAAAGTAGGGGTGCCACGCTGAACTCCCGGCCCTGTGGACACTGGTCACAGGAAGCAGAGACTTCTGCCAGTGAGGATCTCAGCCCAGGGTGGGGGGCAAGGACGGAAGGCTCTGACAAATATTTCAAAGTGCCCCAACTCACTGGCTCACTTGGAGCAAAGTCTGAACTTTTCCCTTTCTTGCTGATTTGTGCTCCAAGACCCTGCACATTTCAAAGTGCCCCAACTCACTGGCTCACTTGGAGCAAAGTCTGAACTTTTCCCTTTCTTGCTGAGCAGTGCTGCAAGACCCTGGAGCCTCCCTGCTGCAGTGCCAGGGCCTCGCAGGCCTGCTTGGGCAGCTAAGCTACTTTGCGGGGCCTATGAGAACCCTAGATACCAGGCAGGGACCCTGCACATCTGACACGCCACTGCCTGTGGCCAGCACCAGCTGGGCCCACCTTCCTGGTGTTGGCGAAGGGGCTGGTCCCCTAGGCTCTTCCGGGACCATTACTTTGACATGCTGACTCACCCTCCAGGTAAGGTTCAGGACTGCAGCAGCAGGCCACTCAGGGTATGGAAAGACTCATCCCTATGCCAGTGTGCTGCTTCCCAACAATTTCATCCCCAGATTAAGCATACTGTGAAGTGCCCTAACGCTGCAGCACGCCAGGAAACAGCGGTGTCATGAAGCACACGGTGAACAGCAAGCACAATCTCTCTAGGTAGAAATGACCTGGTATTGCCCAGATGTTGTGGGCTCGGGAGCAGAGGAGGGTAAGAACATCGCTGAGAAAACCAGAATCTAGAGAGGGCCCGTGGCCACAGCGAGAGAGACTGTCCATGGCGGACATTAAGAAAATAGAAGGCAATGGTACTGTTTTTAAAGTGATTAAGTGTGACTACATGCAAGTTAACTGTTCTTTTTTAATAAATTTTTTTTTCTCCAAACAAAATTCAAGGAAAAGCACAAGCATTGTTCAGCCAGGTGTACCGATCTGTGGTTGCCCAGAGGCCTGGGCGCGGCCCTCGTGTCTCCACGCAGCTCTGTGCGCTCCTGGGGCCAAGGCACCAAGGCAACGGGCGCCAGGCCAGCGCGGTCTCCACAACAAGCTGCTGCCGGGCAGGGCCGCGTTCTGCCCCGTCCGCCCCGCGCCCACCTCTCCCCGGCCGGGCGCCGCGGCCCCACGCGCTCGCCCACCTGCCCACGACCCGTGCGGGCCTGAGGAACGAAGAGGGGGGCAGGCGGCCCCAAGGCCTCCAAAGCTCAGGGGGCAGGCCCGGCGCCGCCGCTCCTCGGCCCCGTGTCCCCTCGGGCGTTCGTGTGAACGGCTCTGCGCCCCTCCCCCGCTCCAAGACCCCGCAAGATGAGCCCGGCCGCCCTCGAAAAGGTGCAAGGCGAGGCCCGGGCTCGCGAGAGGGCCACGGGGCGCGCCCCGCCCGCCTGCCCCGGGCTCGGCCGGCCCCCGCAGCCCCCGGTGTCCCTCGCTGGCGCTCGCATCCCTGAGTCTGTGCCCAGGGGGTCGGCCCCCGCAGCGCCCCGCCCGCGCCGGTCCCCGCGGCACTGCGGCGGTTACCAGGACGCCGGCCCCGCCAGCCAATAGCGGTAGGCTGTTGGCGTGCTCTGCGGAGCCGGCCAATGGAAGCACAAATCAATCATTTGAAACAGCCAATGGTCAGAACACCGCAGAGCGAGGGGGGGGACTTGGATAGGGAGCGCAGAGGCCGCGACGGACCAATAAATGGCGAGCGGCGTCGGGAAGGCGGGCGCTGGGCGGCTCGATTGATGGGGCTACAGCCAATCAAACGAGGCCGCCTGCCAGCCTCGCTCCGGACGCCCAATAAGAGGCTGGCGGGGGCGGGCGCGGCGGGTATATAAGCGCCAGCGCAGCGTCGGTTGTAGCACTCTGCGCGCCCGCACTTCGGCTTTCGCTCAGGTCTTTCCTCCGCAGCCGCTCCTGCTGCCGCCGCCGCCGCCGCCGCCGCCATGAGGGAGATCGTACACCTGCAGGCCGGCCAGTGCGGCAACCAGATCGGCGCCAAGGTGAGCGGGGACGTCTGGGCCGGCGCGGGTCCTCCGGGCGGGGCGAGCTGGCGGCGGGAAAGATGGCGGCATCCGGCGGGCGGCGCCCCCGCATTGCGGCCCCTCGCGGCGCCGGAACCGGGGTCGAGGCAGCTGGCAGCGACTGGGGCCCGTGGGGACGGCCGGGCGGCGGGGGAAGGGAGGGCCGCGCCGCGCCGTCCGGGGCGGGGCCGGCTCCGGGCAGCTCCGGCGTGACTCAGCCCCGGACCGGCCCGCCCGCGTCTCCCGCAGTTTTGGGAGGTGATCAGCGACGAGCATGGCATCGATCCTACTGGCACCTACCACGGGGACAGCGACTTGCAGCTGGAGCGAATCAACGTGTACTACAACGAGGCCACCGGTGAGACCCCGCGCCCCTTCCCCACCCCCGTGCCGCCCCACGGCCCTACCCTCGCTGACGCCCTCCCGCCCCCCAGGTGGCAAGTATGTGCCCCGCGCCGTGCTCGTGGACCTGGAGCCGGGCACCATGGACTCTGTGCGCTCTGGGCCCTTCGGGCAGATCTTCAGGCCGGACAACTTCGTCTTCGGTGAGCCGCGGATCGGGGTGGGTGGCGGCTGATAGCCAGCACGGCGCAAAGGTCGGGGGGGGGGGGGGCCCAAGGTCGCCATCTTCAGGATTCGCAGAGCCGACGTTCTGATCCACTCTGTATTCTCAGTAGAAGCTGGGTTCCAGGACGCCCTCCTCCCCTCTAGAGTCACTCAATCCCCTCACCTAAAGCGGCTTTGCCGAGAAGGCCCAGCTGTCTGCCGGGAAGGAGCAGGCAGATGTAATCTCCACGCCGGGAAGGCTGAGCTGGAGGCAGTGGCAGCTCTTCTGCTCTTGGGGAGTTGGCAGAGGCTGCCCGTGGGAGGGGCTGGTTTGTTGTTTAACTATGTTAGCTTACCATCTTGGTGTTTCGTCGGGTAGCTCTATCTTATCAGTTTGGGGGCCCGTCTGCTGTACCCGCAGGGTGGGTTTTGGGTGTTAACCTCCCGCTGTGTCGTTTGGCCTTTGTGGCACCAGTGACCAGTGGTGACCACATGCCTGGCTGAAGAGCACCCGGCTGCCCTCTCTCTTGCAGGTCAGAGTGGCGCCGGGAACAACTGGGCCAAGGGGCACTACACGGAAGGCGCGGAGCTTGTTGACTCAGTGCTGGACGTCGTGAGGAAGGAGGCGGAGAGCTGTGACTGCCTGCAGGGCTTCCAGCTGACCCACTCCTTGGGTGGGGGGACTGGGTCTGGGATGGGCACCCTCCTCATCAGCAAGATCCGGGAGGAGTATCCAGACAGGATCATGAACACCTTCAGCGTGGTGCCGTCGCCCAAGGTGTCGGACACTGTCGTGGAGCCCTACAACGCCACCCTCTCCGTCCACCAGCTTGTAGAGAACACGGATGAGACCTACTGCATCGACAACGAGGCGCTGTACGACATCTGCTTCCGCACCCTGAAGCTGACCACCCCCACCTACGGGGACCTCAACCACCTGGTGTCGGCCACCATGAGTGGGGTCACCACCTGCCTGCGCTTCCCAGGCCAGCTCAATGCTGACCTGCGGAAGTTGGCTGTCAACATGGTCCCCTTCCCCCGCCTGCACTTTTTCATGCCCGGTTTCGCCCCGCTGACCAGCCGGGGCAGCCAGCAGTACCGGGCGCTGACGGTGCCCGAGCTGACCCAGCAGATGTTCGACTCCAAGAACATGATGGCCGCCTGCGACCCGCGCCACGGCCGCTACCTGACCGTGGCTGCCATCTTCCGGGGCCGCATGTCCATGAAGGAGGTGGACGAGCAGATGCTTAATGTGCAGAACAAGAACAGCAGCTACTTTGTCGAGTGGATCCCCAACAACGTGAAGACGGCCGTGTGCGACATCCCGCCCCGCGGCCTGAAGATGTCTGCCACCTTCATTGGCAACAGCACGGCCATCCAGGAGCTGTTCAAGCGCATCTCGGAGCAGTTCACGGCCATGTTCCGGCGCAAGGCCTTCCTGCACTGGTACACGGGCGAGGGCATGGACGAGATGGAGTTCACCGAGGCCGAGAGCAACATGAACGACCTGGTGTCCGAGTACCAGCAGTACCAGGACGCCACGGCCGAGGAGGAGGGCGAGTTTGAGGAGGAGGCCGAGGAGGAGGTGGCCTAGAGCCGCCAGAGCCGGGAGGCCGAGGCCGTGGGAACTCTTTATTCACTCACAGCCGCTCTGGTAGTCTGTCTCACTGTGTGTGTGCTTTCCTGTCCCGACATCACGTTCTGTACAGCCGCCACCATTAAAGCGTTTTCATAGTGTCTGGCTGCGCCTCTCCAGTTCCTTCCCATAGGCCTTGCGGGTGCTGTTGCCGAAGGTCAGTGCGTAGTTGTCCTGCATGGCTGAGGGGCAACGCTGCTGCTGAGCCCCTGGGCTCACTGCACGCATGGGGCACACGGGGCTGCTGCGGGGGCAGCGGCCTGCGAACATGCAGGCTTGGGAGCTGCGGGCTGCCTCCCGGAGGTGGGCCCAGCCTTTGCACCACAAACCCCCAGGAGGCCAGCGAGGTGTGGAGGCACTGGGCCTCTTGGCTCTTAATCAGGGCTGTCAGGCGAGCCCCTTCCACACTGGGGACGGGGGCACTGAGGGAACCTTGGCTGAGAGAGCCCCACCCCCGGCCCCGCACAATGGTGGCCTGTCGCCGCGACGTCTTGTAAGAGGAGCCCGCGTCACTCACATGGTATGAAGCCCATGTAGAAAGGTATCAGGCCCTGGCTTCTGTAGATAGTGTTGCTGGGCCAGTGTGTTCGGGGCAGCCTCTCACCCAGGGCACAGATGGGATTTCTGAGCAGAAACTGAGGAAACAGGCAGGTTGGTGCTGCCATATCCTGCCTCTCTCAGCTGGAAACCACTGAGCAGAATGGCCCGGGGGAGGGGGGGGGTTAAGGCTGGCATTTTGGGAAGTGAGTGGTTCAGGGGTCTTCCCTCCCCATGACACTCCAGACCTGGGAGCCAAGACCTAGTCAGAAGGATATGGCTGGGGGCAGGAAGGGGATAGCCTCTTTGGGCTGGCAGAGCTTCCTCCAGGGAAGCCAGAGGGTGGAGACAGCCTTGCTCACCCAGGGGGGGTGGTCACACACCTGGCTCTTGTCGAACTCGTCCATAGCCTGTGTGACCCCATCGCGATAATTCATCCCCATCACCCAGGCAAACCGAGGGACAAAGCCTGCGTAACCTGGGGAGGGAGGAGGTCAGGGTCCCCCTGCAGGTCCCCACTTGCCCCCAGGGGTGTCAGGGCAGTGTGTGTGGGCTCCAACCCCTTCCGGAAGAGGAGTGGGCCCTCAGTGCGCCCACCCTTGGGAAGGGCCCACGGGCAGCCTCCTCACTTGCTCTCCCCCCGGGCCCTTGGTGGGGAGGGCACGCACCTGAGATGGCCTTGCGCTGGATCAGGTTGGGGTGGTCCAGCTGGGGCAGCCTGTGGAACCTGCCCACGTCGAGTGTCTCCTGCCAGTGGGCAAGGGGTGGGGACCGGTCCCTCCTGCAGTGGTACAGCTGAAGTGGGGAGGTGCAGGTCACTGCCCAGCCCCTGCCCAGGTCTGGCTGGGGTGGGGCCTGGGGCCCATGTTCCCAGGGTGTCCCTCAGTTACCTGGTACTGCCCGGGGGCCTCGCAGGCAGGGGTGGTGCTCTTCCAGGCCTCTTCCCCGAGTGCCAGCCGCAGCCCCGGGTGTCCAAGGTCCCTGGAGTCCCCCTTCCTGCCCGGAGGGCAGGGGGCATAGGGGGGATAGGGCATGAAGCCTGCAGGCAGTGATTCTTGCCTGGATACATTCTCACCCCCCAGGGACCCCTGGGCATCCGCCTCCTGGGGTGGGAATCGGCCCAGCATCTCAAAGTTCTTGTAGGGCTTCAGACCTGTGTAGACAGGGCAGACTTGAGCCACAGCAGGCAAGAGGGCATCCTGGGGCGTGGTAAGGCCAGGGTTGGGGGGGCAGGTGGCTTACCAGTGTAGTGGGGTATGTAGGGCTCGATCAGGTCACGGCAGGGCACAAAAGGTGGCTTGGGCTTGCTGAAGTCCTCGATGAACTTGGGCTTGGCGATGGGGGCCAGCACGGAGCAGGGGCTCTTGTGCACACTGGGGTCTGTGAGCAGCTGTGCCGTGGTGCGCCCATAGGTGCTGCCCACCTGGTAGCGCAGCTGCGGGTAGAAGCCAGCGTAACTGCAGGCGAGAGGGTGAGGCAGGGCCCCACGAGCAGGTGTGGGTCCGGTCTGCTGGCTGCAGACGGGCGGGGCCACGGAGCCCCGCCCTCTGGGCAACTCAGGCCAAGCGCTGAGAGCAGGCCTGGCCCGTGGCAGGGGAGCTGCGTCGTCTTCCCCACCGTCCGAGTGCCATCCGCCAGCCATTTTCCAACAAGGGGCTGAAAGATGAGAGAACGGGGAGCTCTGCCTCCCGAAGCATCACAGGGAGGAGACGGGCTGGGCCTTGGGCAGAGGCACAGGAGAGCCGGCAGGATACTGGGAGGCTGTGGGGGACGCTGCTGGTGGGGTAGGTTCAGGCCTGTGGGGAAGTGGCGTGGGCGCCACGGCTAAGCCCCGAGCCGTGGCCTGTGTCACAGCAAGGAGTGTGCGCTGTTTTCTTTTTAAAACCTGCCTGGTGGTACAGTGCAAGGGAGACGGGCTCAATCCCTGGTCTGGGAAGATTCCACATGCCACAAAGCAACCAAGGCCGTTGTAGTAGCACCCACAACCACTGAGCCTGCCTGCTGCAACTCCTGAAGCCTCTGCCCCTCGAGCCTGTGCTCCGCCAGACACCACTGCACTAGAGGCCGAGCACCGCCGTGAGGGGCAGCCTCTGCTCGCCACAGCTAGGGAGAGCCCGTGCACAAAGACCCAGTGCAGCCGGGGTCATGCAAAATAAAATCTATTAAAAAACTGCTCAAGTGAATGCAGGTTTGTTAGTCAACCAGCTGAGTGAGGCTGAGGCTGAAGGTCAGGGACTCTTCAGTGTCACCAGAGTTGGTTCTGCTCTAACTAGCCTTTTTTTGCACGTGGTCTGAGTGTGTGTCAGTGTGCACACACGCTGTTGAGGCCCATTTCTGTTCATTTTTGGTCACGCTGCGTGGCAGGCAGGATCCTCGTTCCCCAACCAGGGATCGAACCTGTGCCGCCTGCATAGTGTCTTAACCGTTAGACCCCCAGAGAAGTGCCCATTTCTGTTTTTGACATGGGGACACCTAGCAAGGTGGCCTGAAGGCCATGCCCGTCGGTTCACTCTCATCTTGTCTCTATTTTTTCATTTTACTTTTTCATGTTTTGGGGGCACAAGTCACGCAAGGTCTTAGTCTCCGGGGCCAGGGACCGAATCCTTGCTCCCTGCGGTGGAAGCAGACAGTCTAATCCCTGTCCCAGCTCAGCTCTTCTTTAAAGCGGGACGCACACTGGAGGGAGAGGCCAGCGCCCCCCACTGTCGCACTGTCCCTGGTCTCTGCTCCCGCAGACATGCGGGCCACATGGCAGGGCTGCACCAGCAGGGTGGGCCAGCCAGGCCCCTGCAAACCTGCCCCTGCCCTCCTGACCGGCCCGTGGCCTCACCCCGCTCCCCAGGCACCCTGGTTCCCGACTCCTGCCCAAGAGCCCCTGCTCTGGCCTCAGCTTCCTGGAGACCCAGCTCTGGGGTCCCCTCACCCCTCAAGGCCCCGGCCATGCTCCACCGCCCCCGGGGACCCCAGGCCTGCCCCAGGGCTGTGATGCTTACCCAGGAATGTAGTGAGGTTCTGGTGAGAAAAGGTTGTGCTTCTGAGTGGCTGTCATTGCACCTCAGTTCTGTGGGGCTGCCTCCAGCCCCGTGCCTGCGCCTGCCTCCTTCCCAGAAAGGAGCCCTGTTGCCTGGCAACCATTGTGAGGAGGCCTGACTGCTGGGCAGCCCTGCCCACACCTGTGAGCACTCCCGCCTCAAGGCGGGGCCACAGGCTGGGGGCATCACACTGGGGACCTAGCACTTGGAGAACAGGAACCCCAGAGGCAGCCCCGCTGGGCAGTGAGGAGCAGGCCTGGGCCAGGGCGCTTGCAACGCATGGGAGGCCGGGAACCCAGTGAAAAGCAGCCGCTAGGGGTAAGGCTAAGGGAGCCCCCCCACCCCAAGCCCCCTCCTCAGACACGAGGCGCAGGCCACTCTGAAGGCACGAGGTTCAGCAAGTGAGCCTCCTGAGGCCCGGAGCCTCTGGGACTCTGTCCTCGAGGGTCACTGCCTGGAGCTGGCATTGCTGTCTTAAGTCACTAAGTCACGTCTAAATCTCTGCGACCCCACGGACTGGAGCCCAGAGGCGCCCTGTCCATGCAATTCCCCAGGCAAGAAGATTGGAATGGGTTGCCATTTCCTTCTCCAAGGGGTCTTCCCGACCCAGGGGTCGAACCCACGTCTCTTATCTGTCACTATTTTCCATTTAAAACAAATCCTGATTTTTTTTTTTTTTTTTGGCGTAGGGAGGATTTTCTAAGCATAAAAACGAAGAAAGGTAGCATAAAGGGGACAGTTAGCAGGTTCGAGAACATGTCAAAAACCAGTACAATCAATACCAAGAGACCAATGCCAGACTGGGGGAAGCGTCTGCACCAAGTGTCGCGTGCAGATAGGATATCAGCAGAAACAAGCTCATGAAGCAAACCTAGGAGAAGGTGACAACCAGCAGAAAAGCACATGAAACGCGCCCAGAGTCAGCGAGGGCCGAGCCTCGGTTAAACCAGGAGGGCGCTGGCGGCCCGACGTGCCTCCCCAGCACGGAGACCGCCTCTCACGTGGGGACACAGGCGGCCGGGCCTTGACCTGTGGCTTCCACTCGGCACGTCGGTCCCGAGCAGACGGCCCACAGAGCGCAGCTGTGCGTGTCATCTGCTGTGGCAGGGTTCATCCCGGGGAACCCGAGCTGCTCCCCGGGGAGCGACCCAGGAGCAGGCGGGGAGCCCCTTGCCCTGATGAAAGGTGCATTTCCTCAAGCGAGTCGCTACCGACAGGAGCTCCAGGCAGGCCCGGCGGTGCCGGATGGGAGGGCCTTGGAGAGGGAGAGACGGGCGGGCGAGCGTGGGGGACAGGACATCCTTGGCTGTGCTGCCCAGGTGAGGCCAAGGCCAGGGCCGGGGCTGGTCGGCTCCAGAAGGCACTGCGGGGGCCTGGCGCCCACCTGGACTCCCGTTCACCCAGCCTCATCGCGCCTTCGTGTTTCAGCCTCAGCAGCCCCTGTGTCTGTGATGACGTCCACAGCTGCGCGCCCCAGAGGACAGTGCCCCAGCCTCGCCTGAGCCGCCAGGCCTGCCTCCCCGTGTCTCCTTCAGCTGGCCCTGCAGGCTCAGCAGCCCACAGCCCCTGCTCCCTTCTGCACCCTCTGTCAGGGCCTTAGTCCTTCCTCAGCGCTACTAGAGTGGACCCTAGGGCCCTGGGAGACCCAGAAGTCCAGAAGATCGGAAGGACTGGGACAAGAAAGGGGAGCAGGGAGGAAGGGCAGCGGGGAGTCAAGAGTCACGGGGGCCTCCCGGGGGCCTGCTGGGCGCGGCTGATCCCAGGGCAACCCACCTCGCGGGCCAGGGGAGGGGCGCTTCAGGGCTGGACAGTGCTTCCCAGGGAGTCCCTGGCAATGGGGGGACCCATGTCCAGTCAGTGAGGTCACAGAGCCCTGTGATGTCCCTAGGGGAGGGGAGCCAGAGACCCTGATAATGAATTTTGACCAGAAGGCAGTGAAATTCCTGGCAAATTTTCACATCAATGGAGGCAGACACTGGACCCATGGCTCCCTGAAGCAGAAGCCACCTGTGACTTCCCAGTAACTGCCCGCGCGGTGGGCTGACTGGGGGGCAGCGGCCTGGGGTGGTCCCCCGGCTGCGTGGATGGTGACTGCTCGTGTCTCTCGCAGGCTCAATGCTACTGTGCTGTTGTCAGGCCTGGAACCAGGGCTGGGGGCCTCCAGGGGGGAGATGTGGCCCCCAGCGGTGCAGGAGCTCCAGGTGGGGCTCAGGACGCAAACCAGCCCCCTCCAGGAGCCCCTTACTCGGAACCTGAGGGAGCTGTGTGAGTGAGGGCTCGGGCTCCCCAACCCCAGGCCGGTCAGGGGAGCAGGCAGGGGTGGGCGGGGGCTGCTGGGAGGACCCAGGCCCAGGGCTTGTTCCACCAGTGCTGGAGCAACGCCCTCCCATCGTGACGGACCTGCATGTTCCTGGCCCCACCAAGTACGAGGTGCCAGACGCGTCAGTGCGAGAGTCCTCCCCACACCCCCACTTCAGCATCGGCCGCAGGCACCCCACCCACGGTGCGTGCCCCTCCCCGCACCCCCACCGCCCGCCCTCTCACCTGGAGAGGGACCCTGGCCAACGGCACCCCTGTGACCCTGTCCCCACTGCAGAGGGTGGTGGCCGCAGGGCGTGGCAGACTGCGTGGTTCCAGAGTGAAAGCCCCTTCACTCAGAAAGCTGACTTCAGTCGAGAGCAGAAGGTGGGGGCCGGCCTGGCAGGTCCTGGGCAGGGTGGGCCACCCTGAGGGGCGGGCCTGCAGCAGCCACGTCTCCCCACAGTGGCCATCGCCTGCGGACTACCAGCTGCCCAGCCCGCCTGCGTGCCCGGCCTTCAGCTTCAGGGGCCGCCCTACCTCCAGGCCGCCTGAGGTCCGAGCCCGCCAGGGGGTGCTGCAGGCCTGGGGCACGGGGCCCCAGGGCCAGCCCCTCCTGCAGGCCCCTCCGCCCACAGGGGACAAGACGGGCCCTGGCCCCAGCACCTACAACATCCTTCCCGGCTGCCGACTGAAGGGCCCGTGCCCACCTGCCTTCTCCATGGGCCGCTCGCCCCTGCTGGCGTCCTGGGTGGGCTCCTGTAAGGGGGTGGAGGCGGGGGACGGGAGGGGTGGGCCTGGGCGGCACAGGTGGGCACAGTGACTGGACCTGCCTCCCCTCTGCAGCCTGCACCCCAGGCCCGGCCGCCTACAACGTGGAGGACTGCTACAGGTCACGGCTCCCCTCGGCACCCGGGGTGGTCATCCAAGGTGTGCGGAGGCCCAAGCGCCACGACACTGGCCCATTCTGTGCGCTCTAGAGCCCGCGAGGTGCGCCCAGCCTCCGGGTTGGCACATGAAATCCTGCCCCGCTGGGGGCCTTGTGGAGCCTCCCTCTGTAACTCAGCGCCCCCCGGCCTGGCCTTCCGCCTCTGAGCCCCTCTGACCCACCCTCCCGACCAGCCAACCCCTCTGAGCTGCGGACGAGGCGGGCCCACCCCCTCGCTACATACCGAGGTGCTGCTGGTTCGTCCGAGTTCTGTGTGCTTGCTGACCGCTGGCCCTCCCCCCGAGGCGTCCTGCAGATGTGGCCTGCGGCTGACCCGTCACGTCTGCTGTGCCCTGGCCAGGCTCTCTTCTCTAGGGTGGCGGGGGTGGCAGCCTGAGCCTGCCTGGCCTGGGGCGGGGGTGGGGGGGTGGGGCCCTGTGGGCTGTGCAAACGCCCCCACCTAGCTGTGCCAGCCAGTGGAGGGGTCCAGCTGCCGGACTCTCCAAGGGTCGGGCTGCTTGCTGAGCTGAGGAGTCAGCTGCTGGGGTGGAGATGGGAAACAGTCAGCTGCCATCCTGAGTGGGGGGTCAGCGTGCTCCCTGGCCAGGTAAAGCCAAGAGGACCCGCTGGTTAGGGCCTGGCTACACATCTCCCTGCAGCTGCCCAAAGACCCTGTGAGCTCAGCCAGAGTCATGAAGGCCAGGCTGCGGTCAACAGACGCCCTGGGCTTCACCGTGAGGCCCTGCCTTGCCCACAGTTGCAGCCTGGCATGGGCTCCTCATTGCCAGCCATCAACCCGCCCTCCTGCACAGGGGTTGGCCCCAAGACTGCCTCCCTGCAGGGGCCTCCTGCAGCTTGCGGTGACTCCTGTCACTGCACCAGTTCCTCCAGGGGCCCTCCCCGTGTCCCCCAAGCCCTCGGCCAGACCCCCTCCTCTGTTTCTTCTGTCCAAGCTCAACCCTTTCAACAGGTACCACGAGAGCTACTCCCACTGTGCTGGCATCATCCCTTTCCGCAGGGAGGCCAAGGACAAGGGAGGGTGAGTGCTGTGCACTGGACCCTCCTCCAGGGCTGAGCCAGCTGGCGGCCAAGCCCCAGCACCCCAGGACTCAGAACAGTGGGACGGCAGGCCACGGGCACTGGGCCCTGGGCTGGCCAGAGCTATGGAGCCCTGACCTTTCGAGTCTGGCCCGAGGTCAGGGCACTAGGAGCCCTGTATGGGCTTCTTGTGTTGCAAGGTGGGCTGTTGAGTGGGGCGGGACCTCAGCCTGAGGGCCTGGCACTTTGGGTGCGTCAGGGGATTAGACGCTCAAGGCAGTGAGAGGACAGCCATCTTTGTCACACTGCCACTGCGTGCCCGGGTCTCTGCTAGGGACTTCCTACTTTGAGGCACTTCCCATTAGAGTCTGGTCTTTGCGACAGTTCTGTGGCGTGAGCTCCTTCGGGTTGGACAGGGAGGAAAGCAAGTTCCAGGATGAGAGGGTCCTGCAGCTGGTGGGCGCTGAGGTCAGCAAAAGGATTTTTCACGATTATTAAAACGCAGATCCCGCGAGCCGCAAAGACCCGGCACAGCCAAATAAATATTACAAAAATAAATGCACTTGGCGGTACAGTGATTAAGACTCCACACTTCCACTGCAGGGCGATGCGGGTTCAATTCCCCGGCGCGCGGCCAAAAATTTCTTAAGTCAAACGCACTCGGCTAAAGCATCAGTTCTGAATCTCCTGAAGCAGGCCAACCCACCGGCGGCACCGACCCCCGGTGTTCCAGCCCAGTTCTGGTGTTCGCTTCCCAGGGGCCCGCCCCTGAACCGCGTTTTACTCAGCGAGGGGAAGCTGGCCCCGGGAGGTTGGGCGGGGCCGCGCAGGAGGGCCGGGCGGGACCGGTGGGCGGGGCTTCGGCGGCGACCCATGCGTCATCCGGGAACCGCCTTCGCGCTCTGTCTCTGCTGGGCGCGGGGCGCGGCGTTCCTCCCGGGAACCCCTGCGCGACGGCGGCGGCGTTTCCGGGGAGCCCGTTGGCGGGCGGACCTGGCTGCGAGGAGCGGAAGTGGGCGGTTGCGGGGAGAGCGGAGCGGCGCTGCGGGAGGGACCTGGCCGAACTGGAGGGCGCCGGGGAGCGGAGCGCGGGCGGCCCCCGAGGCCCGGGCGAGAGGACCGCTGCAGGGCCCGTGGCGAGCGCGGCAGCGCCGGGGGAGCGCGGCGGGGATGGGGCGCCGGGCCGGGTGGGGACCGGGGCCTCGGCCCTGTTTGCGGGGCTGCAGGATCTGGGTGTGGCCAACGGGGAGGACCTGAAGGAGACGCTGACCAACTGCACGGAGCCGCTCAAGGCCATCGAGCAGTTCCAGGTGAGGCTGCGCGAGGGGCCGGGCGCGGGCGCGCGTGTGAAGTGGGCGTATCCGTCTGCTCCGCCACTCGCCGAGCTCGGGCCGCTTCGGCCGGCGGGCGGCTCCCAGCATCGGCTGCTACAGCCGGCGCGGCGCGGACACCCTTCTGCCTGCCTCCTCGCGCGCTCGGGGCAGCCGGGGTGCCTGACCACGAGTGGGTGCGGCTGAGGTCTCTCTTGCGGCCCCGAGGAAGCAACGCCGACCTCTGCTTCCTTAGACAGAGAACGGCGTGCTCCTGCCTTCCCTGCAGTCCGCCTTGCCTTTCTTGGACCTGCACGGGACGCCGCGGCTGGAGTTCCACCAGTCGGTTTTTGATGAGCTTCGGGACAAGCTGCTGGAGCGTGTGTCCGCCATCGCTTCAGAGGGGAAGGCCGAGGAAAGGTCAGTGAGACAGGCAGCCCCCTCCCCAGCCAGGAACCCCCAGTCAGCAGCGCTCACCTCCCCGTGGCTACACATCCTTCCTGAAAAGGGAGCCGCCCGTGACACCACCGGTCTGGGGACCCGCAGGTGGCTGCTTCCTCAGCAATGTGAGTTTTCCCAGGTATAAGAAACTGGAGGACCTCCTGGAGAAGAGCTTTTCTCTGGTGAAGATGCCGTCTCTGCAGCCAGTGGTGATGTGCGTGATGAAGCACTTGCCCAAGGTAACGGCTGCCTGGCCGGCTCCCTCTGGGCAGCGTTCCTGAGCTGCCTGCCCGCGAAGGGTGGCTTCGGAGCACGGTTCCCTGTGCTGGCTCTTCCCTGAGCCGAGCAGACACTGGAGCTTGGTGTGAGCTCCGGGGCGTGGAGCCCCTTCTGGGAAAAAACCTGTCTGTGGTTGCTCCCTGTGCCACAGCCTGGGGGCCCGGTCCCAGCTGTCCCTGTCAGTTGGGCTGGGCTGGATGTGGTCTCTCCCGTGGGGGGGCTGAGGCCTGCTAGTTGTCTTGAGGGAGACCGCTGGGGCAGGGTGCTGCTGACGGTGGCTTGTGGGTTATGTAGGTTCCTGAGAAGAAGCTGAAGCTGGTGATGGCCGACAAGGAGCTGTACCGGGCTTGCGCGGTGGAGGTGAAGCGGCAGATCTGGCAGGACAACCAGGCGCTCTTCGGTGACGAGGTCTCTCCGCTGCTGAAGCAGTACATCGTAGAGAAGGAGAGCGCGCTCTTCAGCACGGAGCTCTCTGTCCTGCACAACTTCTTCAGCCCTTCCCCCAAAACCAGGCGCCAGGGCGAGGTGAGGTGGGGCGGGGCTGTGTGTGGGCCTCCCTGGCCAGCCCCTTCCCGCCCCCGTGAACGCCGGCCTGTCTGCTCTTGGAGGCCTGGGCCCATCTGCGGGGCTGGCCAGGGGCATCTCAGCACCGTCCCTACGTGTGGATCTCGTTGGCCTTTTCTGAGCGCTTCGTGCTGGGTGACTTGGCTGGCCTTTTTGGCCACCTCTGTCTGCTCGCAGCCCTGGGGTCTCCCCGTGTCTGGCTCTGATTTGTTTCTTGTGCAACCAGTGTTTTTTGGATACTGACTCACTGCCACGGGTGCCTGGACCCTTTAGTGACCCCAGGGATCAGGGCACCTCCTGGGGTACTCAGGCTCCCAAGGGGTGGACCCCACACGTTAGATGTCACATGTCAGTCACAGAGAGAAGGCGGGAGCGGGGTGGCCACAGCAGGCCCAACCGATGTGCAGTCTGGGGCCAAGGCTGACACCCTCAGAGGAACCTTGGGGCCTGATGGTTCACCGTCCTCCAAACCAGAGACGTTGCCCCCAGTGTGAGCCGTTGTTCTGTGAAAGAGGAGCCCAGCCCAACGGGTCGGGGGCGCGGGGCCAGGGGGAGGGCGGGGTGCGAGGCCTGGCGTCCCGGCAGGTGGTGCAGAGGCTGACACGGATGGTGGGGCGCAACGTGAAGCTCTACGACATGGTCCTGCAGTTCCTGCGCACGCTCTTCCTGCGCACCCGCAACGTGCACTACTGCACGCTCCGCGCCGAGCTGCTCATGTCCCTGCACGACCTGGACGTGGGCGACATCTGCTCCGTGGACCCCTGCCACAAGGTGGGGCCCCTGCGGCGCTGTGGTCCTGCCTGCCCTCAGCAGGGGGGCCCAGTGTCGGACCCCTGACCCCGAGCCCGCTGCCCTGCTCTCCCCGGGCTCTGTCTCCCCTGCTCCAGAGCCCTCCTGGTGAGCTCCGTGTTGTGGAACAGGGCTTTCCGCACTGCCCCGTCCTGACGTGGACGCGGTGTGACCCCCCTCCACGGCTTCCCTAGGGGCTTCGTGGCGTTACACTCTGAGCCGGCACTGCCCACCGTGCAGTGGGAACCACGGGAAGGCCCGTTTCAGAACAAAACACAGTGACCTCTCTTGCGCCGCCGGGTCTGTGGGGTGTGGGTCCTTGGGCCTGTTTGCTTTGTGCGGTCCTGTTCCTTGCACCAAGCGGGGCCCTGGTGACACGAGGTGGGGATCCTGGTGCCCACCCCAGGCTTGGATGCTCAGGCAACGGGGAAAGCTGCCTGGAGGCGCGGTCTCTGGCCGAGTCCTGACCCTGCCTTCTCCCCGCAGTTCACCTGGTGCCTGGACGCTTGCATCCGAGAGCGGTTCGTGGACAGCAAGAGGGCCCGCGAGCTACAGGGCTTCCTTGACGGAGTGAAGAAGGGGCAGGAGCAAGTCCTAGGGTGAGGGTCCGCTTGGTGTGGGCGCCTGTCCGAGCCTGCCGTCGGGAGTGGTGTTTCCCCCTGTGCGTTTTTAGGGGGACCACTTGGTGCCCGTGCCCGCAACAGAGGCTCAGCTGCCGGGGTGAGGCTGTGGCGTCTCGGCCGCGCTGGGCACCTGGACTGGGCCTGCCCGTGAACAGACAGGCCTGCTGCTTTCAGAGGTGGCGGTCTGGCTACAGGCAAGGTGCTGTCTGGGTGGACCCTGTCCCAGCTTCTGTCTGGGATTGGGCTTGAGGGGACCTGAATGAATTTATAGAGTCTGGGTCAGAATCTCGACCAAAATGGGACCTTAACTTTTAAAAAACCTGTGGTTTTTCAGTTTATCGGGTATGTTAAGGGAAAGTTGTGAACCATGAGGTTTTAGAAAATGGGCCACAGTGGGGCAGCTTGGTCAGCAGGAAGGGCTGGCTCCCAGGCCGGTGGCTCCGCGGGCCTGGAGTCTCCCTCGCTGAGGTTGTGGGTGTGTCGTCACAGGGACCTGTCCATGATCCTGTGTGACCCCTTCGCCATCAACACCCTGTCTCTGAGCACCGTCAGGCACCTGCAGGAGCTGGTGGGCCAGGAGGTGCTACCCAGGGTGAGTGCGCCCGGCCAGCCGCCCGCGGCAGTCGGGCGTGACCCTGGGGTGAGCCCATGCTCCCTCCAGGCAGAGGGCATATGCGGTCAGGGCAGAACACTGGGCGAGCCCACTGAGGCCTGCGTTTCCCTGCAGGACAGCCCGGACCTCCTCTTGCTGCTCCGGCTGCTGGCGCTGGGCCAGGGCGCGTGGGACATGATCGACAGCCAGGTCTTCAAGGAGCCCAAGATGGTAACAGGGTTAGGCGGGCTCCTTCACGAGCGGCTTGGGGGTGCCGGGCCCACAACTGGGGGTGGCCAGAGGACGGGTTGGGGGTCGGCACGGTGTGCAACAGCTCTTGGGCCTGCACCCCAGGAGGTGGAGCTGGTCACCAGGTTCCTGCCCACGCTCATGTCCTTCGTGGTGGAGGACCACACCTTCAACGTGGATCAGAAGCTCCCAGCCGAGGAGAAGGCCCCGGTCACATATCCAAACACACTGCCGGAGAGCTTCACCAAGTAGGGCTGCGGGCGGGGTGGGGGCGGGCCCTGGCTGGCGGGCTCCCGCGGGGCTGACGGCACTGGGGCGCAGGTTCCTGCAGGAGCAGCGCATGGCCTGCGAGGTGGGGCTGTACTACGTGCTGCACATCACCAAGCAGAGGAACAAGAACGCGCTTCTGCGCCTGCTGCCGGGGCTCGGTGAGTGTGCGGGTGGCAGGACACAGCCTGCCCTCCCCAGATGCCCTCTGCCCTCGCCACAACCCATGTTCCCGAAGAGCCAGTGTCATCTTTCCCTAACGGGCAAGGGGCCCGGAGCCTCCCAACTCCTCAGACCAGGGCGAGCGAGCTCCCCCCCAAGGTAACAGAGAGGCCAGTTCCCCCGGCAACCTTGCTCTGCACGCTGGAGGGACCCTGCAAGCCAGGAAGACCGGGGGGCATCCGGGGGTCCCTTCAAGAGCCAGCTGCAGGCTGAGTCGGGGCGTGGGTGCCAGTCGGGGGCACCCAGCCTGCCCACCCCACAGCAGGCCCAGGGCCTCTGCCGGCTCAGTCCCGTCGGGGCGTTGCGGCTTCGTGGAGAGGGTGTGACGCTGCTCACTCAGCCTGCACGTGGGTCATTGATGGGTCTGATGATGGTGCCAGTTTCCAGGCTTTTCTTTATGGAGGAGGCTGCCTATTGGGGGTATTAGTTTCTATATAGCCACCACCTCACTGGTGAACAGGAACTTAGTTAACTCTTAGGCTTCTGGGAGCCGGATGCCTACAGTGGGTCTCTCAAGGCTAAAGCAGGTATGGGTGGGGCTTGCTCCTCTTGGAGGCCCCGGGAAAGACCCTTCTTGTCCCCTCCAGCTCCCAGAAACCCCGTCCTTGGCTCCGGCCCCGTCACAGTTCATCTGCCCAGCTTCTCCCGTTCCGTGTCTTTGGCTCTGACCCGGCACTCGCACCAGCCACCTCCCTCTCCTGAGGGGCCCGCCGGACCATCTCCCCTCGGGCCCCATACCACGGTGGTGGGGGGCGAGTTCCCTGGCTCTAGTATCAGCATGTGGACTTCTCTGTGGGGGGAGTTCTCTGCTGGGGGGCTTCTAGGAGCATAGTTCTAGAAACTTGGGTTAACCGCGTTCTTCCTGCTCACTTGGGAACTTTTGTGTCTGTCTGGTTGAGTCACGTGTGTAGACTTGGGTGTCCTGGAGGCGGGAGTGTCAACATTGCCCACCTGGTGGGCCGGGTGCAGGTCTAATCCCACCCACTGGGCGGGTCTCTAATCACGTTCTGGAGAGGAAGCTGCTTTGTTGTCACTGCAAGGTTCTAGTAAAGATGCGTATCGGTTTTAAAAAGTTCTCTTTGCTTTTAAATGTTTTTTTGGTGGGAGTTTTTTATGAACTCAAGTGCAGGTTAGTGAAGCCCAGGGCCCACTGCCCACCTGCAGGGGGCTGTGTGTGGCTTCCGTCCCCTCAGTGATGGGCTGGACACGGCCCGGGCCCAGCAGACCAGGTCGGAACAGCCCAGCAGGTGTCTTGATGGGAGGTGGAGTCTTAAAGCCGTGACTGCAGCGCGTTTAGTCAGGGTCCAGGCTCTGACAGTTTCCCCCGTTGTGTAATGTTTTCGTGCAGGTGATCTGTTCAGGTCAGGAGTCAGACAGGGGTCTTCCCTCAGCTCACTTCTCCTGCTGCCCCTCAGGTCTTTGGGGTCTGCAGGGCTACATGGGGCTTGTCGGTGGAACCAGGGCACCTGTTCCCCTGCTGGGGCTTGGCTGGCCGCGTCCCTTGGCACACTGACCGTGCGCCTGCCTTAGGGCCGCGTGAGCCAGGCGAGGCTGCGGAGACCTCCATCAGCTGTGGCGGGTGCGGTGGGGGCTCTGTGCCTCCGCAGTGCCCGCGTTTCCGAGGTCACAGCTCCCGGTGACGGGGTGACGTGGTGGTAGTTAGCTTCACCATCTGTCTCCCGGGGTTTGATGAGGCCCGTTTGCTCCGTTCCCTCCCCTCGAGTGCCGCAGTCTGGTGGGCTCTAGGGGCTGCCCGCCTTGGCACTTGTGTGTGTGCTGGAGTCCACTTCACCCCGATCCCCTTGGCTGCTGGGCAGAACCCCACGACAGGATCTTGTCCCCTCCCCACCTTGCCCTGGGACCTGCCCCCAGTTAGGCCCAGGGCCCCCAGGCCCCCCAGCACTTGCCTGCCTGCCCCGGTCAGTTCCGTCTCAGGCCCGGCCCGGGAGGTGGGGGGCAGCTGGGGGACGCCTGCTGTGCTTGCAGTGGAGACCTTCGGTGACCTGGCGTTTGGGGACATTTTCCTGCACCTGCTCACGGGCAGCCTGGCCCTGCTGGCCGACGAGTTCGCCCTGGAGGACTTCTGCAGCAGCCTCTTCGACGGCTTCCTCCTCACCGCCTCCCCGAGGTGCCTTCCTCTCTCCCGGGGAGAGGGGTGGGGTGGGGTGGGGGTTAGGCACACAGCTGGGTGGGGGCGGGGGCTCTGGGCCGCCTGCAGCCCTCCGGCTCCTCCCCCAGGAAGGAGAGTGTGCAGCGGCACGTCCTGCGGCTCCTGCTGCACCTGCACCACCGGGTGGCCCCGTCCAAGCTGGAGGCGCTGCAGAAGGCGCTGGAGCCCACGGGCCAGGTGCGCCCCCCACACCCGCCTGCGCCCTTGGGCCGCGCTGCCTGTGCTGGCCTGACCCTGTGCATGGGTGTGTGTATCCCCCGCGCTGGTCTGTGTGTGTGTGCGTGTGTCCCTGTGCCGGCCTGCCCGTGTGTGTGGGGGTGTGTGCGTGGGCAGGCACGCACACGTGCCCTGGGCCTCCCCCACAGAGTGGAGAGGCGGTGAAGGAGCTGTACTCCCAACTTGGAGAGAAGCTGGAGCAGCTGGACCACCGGAAGCCCAGCCCAGCCCAGGCCCCCGAGACGCCAGCCCTGGAGCTGCCCCTGCCGGCGGTGCCTGCCCCGGCTGTGCTCTGAGGCTCTGCTTGGGGCCGCTCAGGGCGGGCAGGGCCCCTGCCGGGGGCGTGGCCCTGGTCAGCCTGGAAAGGAGGCTCTGCGTTCCTGCCCCACAGACCCTCTCCTGGAGGTGGCCGTTGCTGAGGCCTCCTGTGGGCAGGGCACCCTGTCTTGCACTCAGCGCCCTGAGCTGGGTCCCGGGAGGCGCTCACCTCCTGTGTGAGGGGCCCATGCCCCTGCTGCTCCCAGGCCCCTGGCCAGCTCCGTGGAGCCCCGGCCTTGCTCCAGGCCTCGCTGCCCCCTCCCACTCCCACACCGTGGAAAGCTGCCTGCTTGTTCCTCCTGGAGTCAGGGGTTTCCACTGCTGTCGGGCAGACAGACGGGCAGTCACCTGGGACTGAGAAAGAGTCACCTGTTTTCCCAGGGGTGGGGTGGGGCCTGAGGCCCACCGGGAAGTGGGCAGGTCAGGATGGTTGTCACAGATTGGCAGAATCACACAATTTGCTGGCAGGGGCGTCTGCAGACGGAGCCTAGTTCTCTCCAAGGAGCTCCTGCCACTGCCCACAGCCCCGTGGAGCAGGTGTTAGGGAGGAAAACCCAGCCCCGCCCCCACTGCCTCAATTTACCCTTGGAGCACATGGCCAGGCGAGGGTCAGCTGTTGCTCATAGTTGCGACTTCACTTTTGTAAATAAAAGGTGTTTTGGTAAATCCAGTAGCTGAGCGGTTTCTGTGCGCACCCAGGCTTGGCAGTGCAGGCCAGTAAGAGCTTTCCTGGCGTGTTTCTGTCTCCGTGGGGATACTCCTGGCCCCTCGGGGACAGTGGCAGTGGATGGCGGGGCCTGGGCCTGGCGGTGCTGGGGGCCACAGGACTCGAGACAGTCGGCCCTGGGGGGACCCAGTTGCCGAGGGTCAGGCTGTGTGGAGGTCACTGTGATGTTGACAGGTGCACTCTGCGGGCCGGAGAGGCTCTGGTCCAGATGGTGACGGGGAGGTGAGGCCTGGGGGCCTGGGCATCGGCGGTCAGGAGGAGCCTGGGTGTCTAATGCGTGAACAGGGGAAGGGGCATTGGAGGGATGGGCTGGGGTGCCAGGCACCGCCCCTCATCAGCACAGGGTTCTCAAGGAGGAGGCAGGTCTGGGCTGCTGCTTTTCCTCCAGGAAGCAGGGAGTGAGGTCCTGGGCAGGAAATCAGGATGGGGTGGGGCTGAGGAGGGAGGGGAAGGAACTGGGCCTGGGGAGGGGCGAGTGCCCCGGCAGGGCCCACGTGACCCACCTGAGGCTCTCGGGCAGTGTGGACAGAGGTCAGCAGACAGGTCAGTGGGGCCAGGCTCCTGCCTGGACAGAGGGACCAGGGGCCAGACAAGAGTGTGGGTGGGGGCTTGGCTGGTAGAGGGCACAAGCTGCAAGGATGGGTGTGGGTGGGCGGCTGCAGGAAGGAGGAGGCCCAAGTGGGCGGGTGGGAGGGCACAGCTGAGTTCAGGGACCCTCAGGGCCGTGAGGGAGGCGGGGGTCCTGAGGCTGGACCAAGCAGGGCAGTGGGAGGCCGGGGGCTGGGAGGTCTGGTTTGAGGAAGGGAGCGTCCATGCGGGAACTCAGGGAGGAGAGGAGCACGTGATAGGTGGGGGCTCTGCCCACCTCCAGGCCAGCAGTTTGGGAACCTCAGCGCCCCACTGAACTGGCAGAGGGGTCGCGGTGGGCAGCAAGGTGAGGGGTCTGCAGAGACCAGGTTAAAGACAGGGACCTGAATTCTGGGTTGGTGGGGCATGGGCTGGAGGGAGGGTGGGGTGGGGTGAGGGGTGAAGGGGAGACGTCCCCCTAGAGGTGGGGGAGAGTGCAGGGGGAAGAGGCCTTAGCCCAGGGCTCAGGTTCAGGCCTGACTTGTCTTGACTCCTGCCACACCCCGTATCCCCTCCTCACCCCCGTGGGGGGGCTCTGGACCCCAGAAGGTTTGGCAGACCAGCATTTGGCAGAAGCAGCTGCTGACCGGTTGAGGACAGGCCTGGCCACGCTCCTCGCTACTCCCCAATCTTTTTCTGCATCTGCCCTTCAAGGCCCCTGCCCTCCCCTCAGGCAGAAATGTGGAAATTGCAGAAAGCCTGAAGATCCCGAAGGACCCCAGCCCAGGAGAGGCCTGAACAGATAACACCCTTCTGTTCTGTCCTCCTGAGTGAGGGCCACATGGGGGATGCTGTAGGGGTGCCTGGGCCCCTGGCTCAGCGCAGAGGCAGCAGGCGGGTGGCAGGGGCAGGTCCAAGGCGGGGGGCGGGGGGGGGGGGGGCAGCAGCCGTGGCTTCTCAGGCTGCCTGAGGGCACAGACACGCAGACAGGCAGGGGTCCCATCTTCTGGGGACAACAGAACCCCCAGCCCATGACCAATACTTCCCTGAATGCAGGTCTTGCAAGGAGGTGGAGGGAAGCTAGGGAGAGGGGAGGAGTGGTACACTGGGCAGAGGGACCTGTGTGGAGGAGGAAAGACAGGGAGGATGAGGGGCCGTGGGCAGGACAGGATCGGGGGGCTCAGGACCTCCGGCGCCCATGGGACACAGCTGGGCTCAGAGCCAGTGTGGTTTTGGGAGCACTCCTGGTTAGCAGAGCCGCCTGCAGACGCAAGCTCCGGAGCCGGGGGCGCCCCAGGCTGGCCAGCCTGCTCGGGTGGGGCCGCGTGACACTGGTGGCTGGGGAAGGACCCAGTCTCCACCTGCCAACTCTTGGTCCAAGTTCTTGCTGAATCTGCTCTCCCGCTAGGGCTGGAGCCAGTGTGGGGCTTTCTCCCCAGTTCTAGGGCTTCTGTCCTAGCGTGAGCTGCCCTGTATGGGGGGGCTCTAGGCTGGGGTACAGGGGACGAAGGCAGAGATGGGTGGGGGCAATGAGGCCCGGGTCCTGGCAGAAGAGGGGGAGGAAAAAGAAATGAGCCCTATTTTGCGGGGCCCCCAGATTGGGTTTGGGGGAGCAGAAGGGGGATAGGACCCCCCACCCCCTCCGCTCCTGCGAACAGGCAGCCTGGACACACCCACCTCACCACCGGCCCTGGGGCATCAGGTGCAGGGGCCGTCCCTGAGGTTGGGGCCCATGGCCCCAGGGGAGGGGAGGTGCACCCTGGGGGTGTCCTGGGCTGGGCTGGGCCACGAGGTCTGGGAGGGCTGCAGGGCTGAGGAGGGTAGATGGCCCACCGGCCGGGGACCTGGGCAAGCCCGCCAGGCCTCCCCTCCAGCGCCGCCGCCTCAGTCCAGCCGAAGTCCCGCCCGCGCCGCACCCCTGACTCACTTCCTTTGCAAAGAAGCGGAAACCTCCCCAGGGCTTTCTCCAGTCCGGACGCTCCCAGGGTACCCGCAGGTGTCGCTGACCCGGTGAGGCCCCTCACCCCGCCCTGAACCACGCAGAGAAGCCCGCGCTGTCGGCTTCCTGAGTGGCAGGCCCCAGCCTCGGGCGTGGGCAGGCGTGTGGGTCTGGGGGCCAGTAGGAGCCTGACTTGACGCAGCTGCAGGTACCGGGCTGGGCCGGGGCATCACCCCACCTTTCTCCAGCTGTCTCCTCAGGGACTATCCCTCCTTCTCCGAGTATTGTCTTTCTGTCCCATCTTTTCACTCCCCCCCCACCCCAACCCGTCTCTAGGGGCTCCCCGCACCCCCTCCATTCGTGTGTCCACCGGAGGGGTGTTGGGAGGGTCCTCGTTTGGGGCTGGGAGGCCTGGGCTCAGCTCAGGAACGGGGCTGGAGCCCAATTTGGAGAGAAGTCCCCCCGCAACCCCCAGCCCAGGGTTCGTGTGTGGGACACCTCCGAGCTCCGGGGTGCTCGGACCTCTGCTCGCCTTGGCCCCCTCTAGGCGCCCGGCAGGCGAGCTGCGGCAGGGGCGGGGCCGGCCTTGACCCTGCTTTACCCCTAGTTGGCGCCTGGCCGGCCCGAACCCCTCCTCCAGGAAGCCCGGGCGGTCTGCCGGCCGATAAACTACGCCCCCCACCCCCACCCCGCGCAGTCACTTCCTCAAGGCCCGAGGCTGTTTATGCTAGGACCCAAGAGATTTGCATTGGGGCCCCGCGGGGAGGCGCTTCCTGGGCAGAGGCTGGTCCCGGTCTCCGGGCAGCGGGCCGCCCTCCGGGGGCCTCGCCGGGGGTGGGGAGGGGGTGAGATTCCCAAGGGAGGGTCCCAGTCGGCCGGGCGGAAGTCTGCAGACCATCCCCGCCTTCCTGTTGCAGGGAGGGCGACCTGCATGCCAAGCACCGCCCCTGCGCCATGGACCGCGGCCAGTCCAGCCCGGAGCCCGCGGCCCCGGTCGCCCCCAGCCCGAGCGTGATCGCTCCGGTGCGCGCCGTCGTCCGCCTGCGCCACCAAGTGCGCCTCCTGCGCAAGCGGCGGCCACCCCCGTCGGCCGTGGAGCCGGACCCCGGGGCTGCGGCGCCGCGCGTCCTCCGGGAGCAGCCGCAGTTCTTCACCTTCGACGGGCCGGCCGAGCTGGCCTCGAGACCCGCGCGGAAGCGGCGCCGGCGCAGCCGCCTGGTGCTCTACCCCGAGACCTCGCGCAAGTTCGGGCCGCGCGCCGAGCGCCAGAGCCGCGCCCAGCGCTGCCTGCTGTTGCTCGTGGCCATCGTGGGCTTCCAGGTGCTCAACGCCATCGAGAACCTGGACGACAACGCGCTGCGCTATGACCTCGACGGGCTGGAGAAGACGCTGCAGCGCGCCGTGTTCGGGCAGCCGGCGGCCGTGGGCCGCCTCGTGGCTCTGCTGCGGGACTACCTGGCCACGCACGTGCACAGCCGCCCGCTGCTCCTGGCGCTGCACGGGCCCAGCGGCGTGGGCAAGAGCCACGTGGGCCGCCTGCTGGCGCGCCACTTCCGCGCGGTGCTGGAGGACGGCGCGCTCGTGTTACAGTACCATCCGACGGGCCAGAGGAGCTGCGCGCCGCCGAGGAGGGGCTGCGCGCCAGCCTGCGCGCGCTGCTGACCCGCCAGCATCCGCTGTGGGAGGCCGCAGCCATCGTGCCCTTCCTGCTGCTGGACAAGCGGGACGTGGTCAGCTGCTTCCGGGATGAGATGGCCGGGGAGGGCTTCTTCCCGGAGCAGGCCCGGGCCGAGCTGCTGGCTGAGCAGCTCAGCTACTACCGCGTGGCCGGCCGTGAGTTCGCCGTCACTGGTTGCAAGCAGGTGGTAGCCACGGTCAACCTCTTGTAGCGCAGGTGCGCCTGGACGCGGCGGCACGCCGCGGCACCACGGGATATCGCTGTGGCTGTAGCCGTTGGAGGGGGGGAACTGCGGGTTTGCTGCGGCCTGTGAGGCCCGAATAAATCTGTCCGCGGCCTGCCGCCGGCTCACGCTGGGACCTGGAGTGGGAGGGCCAGGCTGGGTCAGTTCTGACCTCTTCTGCCAGTGCCAAGTCCCGCAGCCCCCGTCTGCCACCTCCTGGTCCGTGACTCAGCCGGCATCTCCAATGCCAGTGTGTCCCCCAGGGCCCACACCCTAGGAGTGGGCCGTCTGTCCCTGTGGTCTAGCAGTCGGATGGTCACAGAGGGCGAGCAGCCCCCAAGGGTCGCACAGTGGTCCCCGCGGAGCTGGATATGAGCACGACTCCAAAGCACCCGCAGCGGCCATACCGACCCCCCACCCCACCCCGCAGTCCTGGCTGCTTCTCCTCTGGCAGAACCGCCTGGGCCGGCCTGGACTCGTGGCCTCTCGGGCCCAGGGGGCTCCCCGAGAGGAAGAGGGCTGGGTGGGCGCTCCACCCAATGAGCTGATCCAGGGGAGCCCTCTGAATGCTCCAGAAAGGGCCCTCTCAGGGTGACCTGAGTAGGCAGTGGGCCCATGTGGGAGTTCCTGCCCGCCCCCCACCCCCACCCCACCGGCTCCAGGGTGCTGAACTCCCGGGAAGCCTCTAATAGGGCTCCCTCAGACTCCCTGGCCCACAGTGCGTCCCAGGCCTGGGGCCGGGCCTCACCCCGGCCAGCCCGGCTCCTGCCAGCCCGGCTCCTCCCCAGGCCCTCCAGGCTCCGGCCTCCTGAAGCAGGACTGCAGGAGCCTCAGTGGCTCCTAGGGAAGGGGGCGGTGAGCGCTGAACTCTGGGGCGGCCCCTATGGGGGGCTCCCAAGGGGTCCAGGTGTGGTGGTTTCAATGCCGTTCCTTGGTGGGCACAGGGTCAGCCTGGACCAGCCCACTGGGAGGAGGACGCAGCCTGCGGGGTAGGGGGCCTGGAACACAACTGGCGAGCAGCAGCGTCCCAAGAAGGGGGCCGAGGGGGCGGCTGGTGGGGGTGCTGCCAGCGGGAAGTGGGCTGTACCAGGGGCTTCAGACCCCACCTCTGCACTCAGCCTGACACCTGCCCTCCGGAGACCTTAAGGCCCACGGGCTGATGTCTCTAGAGCCCCTGACAGGCCCCTCCCTGAGGGTCCCCCAGGGTAAGAGCCCTTCCCTTCACCCACCCTTTTCGTGGTGGTCGGCTGCAGACTGTGAGCCGTCTGTCCAGGAGGGAATTGGGTCCCTCACGGCAGAGGGAAGTGGCCGGCCTGTCCACCCAGCATGCAGACCCTGGGCCCCAGCAGGAAGGGATGGGGAGGGGGCACGTCCTGTCCCGAAAGGCCATACTCCTCCCAGCTCCGGGGCTCCCAGGGACTCCCAGTCTGCAAGCTGGTTCTAAACCGGGAGCTGGACCTGCAGGCATCCAGTTGGACTACACCCGGAAGAGTGGGCTGCCAGGTGATACTGCTGTAGCCAATGTGCTTGCTCAGTAAATAGTGATCACAGGCACGTGTTTATCCAGAACCACTGTGGCCGATGGGTTAAGTGACCGTGGCTGAGCTGAGACTGCCTTGGAGTCAGCTAGTCCTAGCTTCTGGGAGGAATTCCTGATCACATGTTTGTTGGTGCTCATTCCTGTCCATGGGAGGAAGGATCTCCCTACAGAAGGAAACTGAAACTGAAGTTGCTCAGTCGTGTCCAACTCTGCGACCCCATGAATCGCAGCACGCCAGGCCTCCCTGTCCGTCACCAACTCCCGGAGCCCACCAAAACCCATGACCACTGAGTCGGTGATGCCATCCAACCATCTCGTCCTCTGTCCTCCCCTTCTCCTCCTGCCCTCAACCTTTCCCAGCATCAGGGTCTTTTCCAGTGAGTCAGCTCTTCTCATCAGGTGGCCAAAGTATTGGAGTTTCAGCTTCAACATCAGTCCTTCTAGTGAACACCCAGGACTGATCTCCTTTAGGGTGGATGAGTTGGATCTCCTTGCAGTCCTTAGGCCTCGTGCAAATTCTTGAGGCAGTTACAGAGGTTTAATGGGATGGATGCATGTGAGGCTTCTCTTCAGTCATGCGGGGAGAGCAGGACAGTGAACACAGAGGGCGCACCGTGCCATTTTCCAGCCTCGAGACAGGAGGCTACCAGAGCATAGTGGCTCTCCCCCAAACTTCCACACAAGAAGGTGCACGCAAGGAGCGCATGCACACAAAGCTTCACCAAGCGTGATGGAACCTGGGATTCCTTCACCAGTCCGAGGCACTGACATCGCTTCTCCGAGGCTCAGAGATGTGGTTACACACCAGGAAGTTACTTAGATATGCCGATGTGTCAGCAAGTCTATAGGTGACTCAGCTTGCATAGGCAGCTCCCTAGAACTTTCCATGCAGGTATTCAGAAGATCTTGTTTTCCCATTCCAGAGTCTGGTCACATTGAAACAAGGAATACATTTAGGTGGGCTCAGTTTCCTAGCTGTGCCACACGGGCCCAAGGAGCAGTCTGGACAGACAGCAGCGTCTAGAGCCCCAGTGAAATTACCGAGAGAGGGAACCAAAGGGTCCTTGCTTCGCTGGGTGGGCTGAGGCTTCCAATGGCAAATCGGGCAATCAAAGAGGTAGCCCCCTTCTCCAGAAAGTGAAAGTGTTAGTCACTCAGTCATGTCCAGCTCTTTGCCACCCCATGGACTGTAGCCCACAAGGCTCCTCTGTCCATGGGATTCTCCAGGCAGGAATACTGGAGTGAGTAGCCATTCCCTTCCCTGGGGGGCCTTCCCAACCCAGGGATCGAACTCAGGTCTCCTGCATTGCAGACGGATTCTTTACTGTCTGGGCCGCCAGGGAAGCCCCCTTTCTCCAGGGATTGGGAAGTACGAATGAGGGAGTTGTCCTTCCTTGGAAGGAGGGAGGGGGATGAGGTGAGGGGCTGTGTTGAAATGAATGTGCACAGGTCGGGTCCGGACATCGTGGGGAAGCTTCTGTCCTCCGCTTCAGGTCCTGATGGACGTTTATCCTCAGGTCTGCAGACAGTGTGCAGGTCCAGCTGGGGTTTGGTGCTTTCTTTAGACGTGACACTGGGCCTGGAGCCTCGTCCCTGGAGTTGGGTGGCTCAGTGATTAGTCACCAGGACCTGGCGGTGCCCTTCAAGTGAGGCTGGAGGGGGTCCTTTAAGGGTGCCTTTTCCAGGACCTCCAGCCTCTGGGGCATGGTGTGGGGGTCTTGCTCTTCTGGGAGTGCACAGCAAAAGGGGCGGTCTGCCAGAGCCCAGTGATTTTTTTTAAGTTTTTTTAAAAAGTTAATTGATGTATGATTGATTTACAATATATGTTAGTTTCAGGTGTATAGCAAAGTGATTCAGTAACACTTATGTTCTTTTTCAGATTCTTTTCCCTTATAGGTTATTACAAAATACTGAGAATGGTTCTCTGTGCTACAGAGTAGGTCCTTATTGGTTATCTATTTTCTGTACAGTAGTGCGTATATGTTAATTCCAACTGATTATCTTCTTAAACTTCTAATTTTTTTGGCCACACCACACAGCATGTGGGATCTTAGTTCCCCAGCCAGGGATCAAACCCAGGCCCTTGGCAGTGAGAATGGGGAGTTCTAACCACTGGAATACCGGGGAATTCCCCCGCTGGTTATTTTCAATAGAAGCAGTGAAGAAACATTTCTCCCTTTCTCAGCTGTGGATCAGAGAGGCAGGAGCCACATGCACTGGGTATTCTGATCCAGGGAGAACAGACCCCATCAAACCTGTGCAAGTATGTCCACTGTCATGAAAAACTAATATTCAATAACAGTTTCAGAACTCTTGAGGGACCAGGTAGGGAGAAAAAGGTGAATGTCAAAGATACACTTTGCCAACTCATGAGGCATAGACTGCTGAGGGCTTCCCAGGTGGCACTAGCGGTAAAGAGCCCGTCCGCCAAATGCAGGAGACATAGGAGACTGGGGCTCCACCCCTGCGTCGGGAAGAGCCCCGGGAGGAGGGCATGGTGGCCCACTCCGGTGTTCCTGCCTGGAGATCCCATGGACAGAAGAGCCAGGCAGGCTGCAGTCCACGGGATCACAGGGAGTGGGGCACGACTGAAGCGACTTAGCACACGTGCACACACAGACAGCTTAAAGGAGAGGAGAAGAGGGGATCCATTGTGTCTGGAAAACAAAACATTAAAGCAACTGGTTTTCCGTGAGAGTTTAACAAATGCTTATACAGTTCAGTCATATGAATTCAGTTCAGTTCAGTCACTCAGTTGTGTCCGACTCTTTGCAACCCCATGGATTGCAGCACAGTAGGCCTTCTTGTCCGTCACCATCTCCCCGAGTTTACTCAAACTCATGTCCATTGAGTCGGTGATGCCATCCAACCATCTCATCCTCTGTCAGCCCTTCTCCTCCTGCCCTCAATCTTTCCCAGCATCAGGGTCTTTTCAAATGAGTCAGCTATTCGAACCAGGTGGCCAAAGTATTGGAGTTTCAGCTTCAGCATCAGTCCTTCCAATGAACACCCAGGACTGATCTCCTTTAGTATGGACTGGTTGGATCTCCTTACAGTCCAAGGGACTCTCAAGAGTCTTCTCCAACACCACAGTTCAAAAGCGTCAATTCTTCAGTGCTCAGCTTTCTTTATAGTCCAACTCTCACATCCACACACACCTACTGGAAAAACCATAGCTTTGACTAGACAGACCTTTGTTGGCAAAGTAATGTCTCTGCTTTTTAATATGCTGTCCAGGTTAGTTATAACTTTCCTTCCAAGGAGTAAGTGTCTTTTAATTTCATGGGTGCAATCACCATCTGCAGTGATTTTGGAGCCCTCAAAGATAAAGTCTATCACTGTTTCCACTGTTTCCCCATCTATGTGCCATGAAGTGATGGGACTGGATGCCATGATCTTAGTTTTCTGAATGTTGAATTTTAAGCCAACTTTTTTACTCTCCTCTTTCACTTTCATCAAGAGGCTCTTCTTCGATTTCTGCCATAAGGGTGGTGTCATCTACATATCTCAGGTTATTGATATTTCTCCCAGCAACTTTGATTCCAGCTTGTGCTTCATCCAGCCCAGCATTTCTCATGATGTACTCTGCATGTAAGTTAAACAAGCAGGGTGACAATATACAGCCTTGACAACTCCTGTCCCAGTTTGGAACCAGTCTGTGGTTCCATGTCCAGTTCTAACTGTTGCTTCTTGACCTACATACAGATTTCTCAGGAGGCAGGTCAAGTGGTCTGGTATTGCCATCTCTTGAAGAATTGTCCACAGTTTATTGTGATCCACACAGTCAAAGGCTT